GCTTCGAAATATTTTTTGTTATTATTTAGAAAATTTATGCAGATTTCCTCGCGATGTTTTCCTTCACGGCTGATAAGAACGCGATAGGTCATCTCCTAAAATCATGAACTCAGATTGCTCGAGTATAATGATATAAAGCGAATAATTGGGCACATTAAAAGCACTAATCCTTACTTCTTTACTAATATTATAAAGGCGTAAGTTTGTATGCATGGATGGATGTTTGTTACTCTTTCGCGCAAATACTACTGAATGGATTCTAATTAAACTTTACAGTAATATAGCTTATACATCAGTATAAGACATAGGCTATAATTTATATACATATTTTATGTATCTGTCTTTCTGTCTGAATGTTACGCCTTCAGCCTATTCTACGCAGACATAGTCGCGGGCATCAGCTAGTGTTATTATATTATTATAATCTTAATATATATTATTCTATTACTAATAAAGAAGCTTAATCGTAAATAATAACATAATTGATTTTAGCCTGTGTGGACGTTAACTGAATGATGTAGAATAACTCCTGCTCCTTTACTATGGGAGTGTGTCCGAAACCTCAATTTTCTAAAAAAATGAACATGAAAACATGCATCAAAAAATTGTATTCGTTAATTGAAGTATTGAAGTATTCTTTAATATTAATTTTTCTTTATATCTTCCATTTTATTATACTTTCATCTATTTCCGAATATAATGTTTATTAGAAATATAATTATTTCAGTATAAAAACTTCAACACTCGCCCTTTAATGGTGGTGGGTAGGCAGGGCTTCATATCGATAATTGAATCGAACACAAATGTGAAACAGCGATTGTGTTAAAAATCCAGAGAGGAAATCAAAGAACGCCTCAGTGATTCATTCTAACGTTTTTCTAATATTTTATTTAGTCTCTTTCTTTCACTTCACTTTCCACTTTCACTCAAATTCAAATATGTTTATTCAACATAGGAGCATCAGACTCACTTTTTGATAGTCAAAAAACTACCAGGGGGAACTATAAGTAACTCCATTATTTCCCTTACCCACGTCTATTACACGCACCATATAATTTTTTTTATCTCATCACCTCTCAAATTACACACACAAAGTCTATTTCGGAAATGAACAACGGCCTAACTCAATTAACTCCTGACTTAACTTGCTCATTATTAGTACTAACTTATTTTCGAATATACTAAAGACCAACTGTATCAGATCACTCTAGCCACTATGGTCTTCTGTCTCTAGTCCTTTTGTGAGGTCTGATTTATCAATTGGCTTGTTTCGTTAGGATTAGACTATACGGTCGAAGTCAAACTGTCCTGGCCAGATTCTAGTCGCTACGGCATTTGTCTCTAGTCTTTAGTTCGGTGTCATTTATCAAACAGCCTGTTTCGTTGCGAGAAGAGTATACGGTCGAAGTCATACTATCCTTGTCCAGATTAGGGTCACTATTGTCTTTTGTATCCAGTTTTCAGTGCGGTCTCATTTATCAAACGGCCTGTTCTGTTCTGAAGAGAGTCGGTGGTGGGGCAGGTGCGTATCGCCGCTCCATTTCGATCAATCAAAACGCCCAAGCATACGGGCCTTGTTTTGTCATTCAGTGAACCACAACTAGGACCCGTGGAGGGGTCTCAACAGCGCTCTTCCGTCCATTAAGGCTCAAATTGCCCCCGTAAAATATGTCGTAAATCTAACTGGCAGCACTGATATCCTGTTCTGTGCAATGAAAAATCTCTCCGCTAGGCACCGTCTATCCGGGGTCGACGAACTCTTCGCGGATTGTTCTACACAAGTAACAAGCTTTCTGTATAGCAATAGCTGCTATTATACTAGTGACCTAAGATTTGTTAGTCAAAATTCATCCAATGGCAAAGGAAAGAATTAGATGCTCATTCTGAGACGAGCTATCATCTTTTAGCTAACTCAGTAAATTAGTTCAGAAATCCTTTCTGAGTTTTTACTTACATCTTCTAAGTAGTATACTTTTGTTCAAAAAAACAAGAAAAAACGGAAAGAAAACATAAAACAAAAAACAACTGCGTGTTTGTTTTTTCTAGTCTTTGACATCGCAATTTTCCTTCTGTTTTCTACTAATTGGCCGGTTTTAATAAATATTTTAGTTTTTTTTTTTTTTTTTATTAAGTATAAGTAACTTATTTAAAGTCCAGTATTGCATTCGATTATTATGGCGACTTGTGAAGATCTCGATAACAATCCCATTTCGGGCGCGATAATTATGAATCTAAGATAACTTAAGACGATATATTTCATTTGATATGGAATGGCAAAAAAGTTTTTAAAATTGTATCTTCAGTGTTCTTGTTTAAAAAAAAATCTTACTATAAAAACACTGTATTATTTTCCTAAGATAAAATAATAATTTGGTAAGTAGTCACATGTAACTTTATGTGAGGACCGTTATATTTACAGTGGTTTTTGGTTTCTCTTCTTTTTAATCTTCTTCGATTTTCTACCACCTCTTCATTCCTAAATTTCATTTAATGTCTTTATAAAAAATAAAAGATTCTCGTAACATACAAATATATAAAGAGTTCTCACTCTTCCTTGCACTGATTTTTTGTTGTGATACAAACCCCAATTGAAAATAGATGTTTTGGCTCTGTCTTTGATAAGGAAATATCTGCCAACTTAGTATCCAAAATAAAAGAAAACACGGCAGCATGACAGTTTGAATCAATAGTGGAAAGGTTCGTTCTCTTTTCAATTTCGTGCAAGCAGACATAGACCCGGGGGGACCCCTAGCCATTTCATTGACAACTCGAAAAGAGGTCGTTACCTCGATTGATAAAGCCGGTGGCATCTCCTCGCATCCTGTCTAACAATTGATGCGCATGCGAACACGTGCGCACGCACAATCACAAGCGGATCGCATTGGTGTGCGTGACATTTGCTAACGGATTTCCAAACTAACGCCCACGCAGCTACAGTTTAATATCCTCCGACAGTTTTTTGGCTGTTCAAAAAGCAGTCGTGTGGACAGATTTATATTATTGGCCGATTATGAATGATATGCGTAAACTGATAAGGTTCCTTTTTGAATAGCACGAGCGTTTATAATACGACGCCTGTTTAATTAATCCATTGTGAAGGGTGACACGAAAGAGAATGGTGTAATTAAAAACAATGTTAGCTGCACAAATGATTATTCTATTACACAATCAACTAGTTGTTTAACTTCAGGCCGTTCCCTAGCTTTGGACATTGTCTTTTGAACGGCTTTAGCATTCTGTACTTTAGCGTGTATGGGATGCAACTGTTATTAACTTAATACAAGATTGCAAATAGATAAATGTTTAATGTACGACTGTCCAAGTTCCACTGAAAACCAGCGCAAATTTTTTTCGCGATATAATGCTGAGTGTTGACCTTTTTGGTACATTGTTCTCTAAATTTTAATTGTTATTTTTTTATTTTAGGTTGTTTATTATGTACCAAATAAATATTTCTTTCTTTCTTTCTTTCTTTCTTTTGTCGCTGTTAGTTTCGGTGCCAGCTGATGTGGGTTCGATTCCCACTTGGGGTAGATATTTGTCGGACCTAAGTATTACAACTGTTATGCTATGTGTATCCCATGTAAGATTTGTGTATTAATTTTAATAAGTTTAATTTTAATTTGTGTAATAAGTCGCAGAACAAAATTATCCTCGAGTAAGGGCTTAACTATTCGTTAAAATAAGTTACTTGTAAATTCATTCAGCAATATATAAAGGTAGGAAATTTCATACTTATGTTCTGTTAATTCCTATTGTTCTTAATATATTATAGGTTGTCAACGCATCTGCAAACCCTCGAGAGTAGCAGATGTCCATGGGCGGCGGTATTCACTTAACCATCAGGTGAACGACTGCTCGTTTGGCAACGTTTCACATTAAAAAAAATTAGAACTTTAAGTGACGATCTGTCCAAATGTGGGGGAAATCTATGAAATGACGGACAACTCCATTGAGGGGCTCCGGCGAAACGCACGCGACGCCGGGTCAACTAACTATGCAGGATGGGGAACGCAAAGAGGCCATCGGAGTTAATTGTCAACTAGATTGATAACAGCAAAGTTGCGCAACGGCCGCCGACATTTGGTGCTGCAGTTATCACGTGGCGCATCTATGAATGACTTGTAGTCGAATCATCATTTGGATTTTGTGATTATAGGATTTGTCTATAATTTAATACGCCTCATAACTTGCTTCATCCAATCCAATATAACTATCAGGCCATAATCTCTATTCACAGACGTCGTCTGATAAACCAATAAATAACTGTTTTATTTATTAAGGCCTATCGGCAGTTTTTGATTTTTTATTGAAAATACACGCAATTCTTCACGCGTTGCTTGTCGAATAAAATAATATTAATTGTATATTAAAGAAAAATTTATATTTTTTAGGAATAATACCAAGGTGCCAGCCAGCTAAATTAGAAGCTAAAACTACAATTTAATTTTTATTTTTATTTTATTATTTACTTCACCAACAAGATACATATCAAAACATGCTTAGAACATAAATAAGTACATAGTATCTTAAACTAAATGGTATCTCCATTACAGGTGAAACGACATTCAAAAGTATATTGACAACAACTAAAAAAAAGAATTAAATTAAATGCTAACAAAGGATTAGTGCAGTAGTTGATTTTACACTGAAATAAACATATAATAAAAACAAAAACTTACTTATCTGAACTTTCCTAAACGAACCTCATACAAATTTAAGATTCATTATTAAAAACCATAACGTTAATGTAATAAGAGAAAATCTTGGTTTAAACATAACATATAAAAGTCTCAATCCAAAGGTAAAATTATTGTAAAAGTGGTCATAATTAGGTCGGAATATTAACTAGTACCATAATTAATTCATAAATATGATTATTTACATTAATGAAGTTTATTTAATGTAGATCTGATGTGATGTTTTAATATAGCTTAACAAAAAGTGCGTCATAATATGGCATAAATATGGACTGGGGGAATATTGAGTGAAGTTGAAAAATGCACGTGCCTTCGAGTGCATTACGGACGATTAAGAGTCAGCTATGGTGCGTGGCAATAGTTGTAGTGGTGGCAGCGGTGGCAGACGTGGCGAGTCTGAATGGACCCAATGTGTGCATGGTGAAACAAAAGTAAGTTCACAATTAACTACAACTAATCTATACTAATTATAAAGCTTTCTTTGCCTGTTATAGGGACTAGTTTCGGTAATGCGTTATTGCGTTTATAAGTAACTGTAACAAAGTTTTCACATTTATACAAAAAATATTGACATTAGTAAAATTAAAATTTCAGAAGAGTGACGACATTTTTCTGTACTTTATTTTATTTTTATTATTGTATCTTTTGTTCTCTTTAATCTAGTGTAAGTGACATGAGACACATAAATTAAATATATATAAATTACATACCAAGTATAATCTTTATATAAAACCTTATTATATTATGTATGCACTCAGTACGACCCAATGTGCTCAGGTTAAAATACAGGAAAATGTGCAATTTATGGAATAATAAACTTTTTACATAAACTATAACCTAGATATAAACCGTAAATAATATTAAATTGCATCTATTCCCCTACGAATTAAGTTTCAAACTATGCATATATTAAGAATTAGTTCGGCATGAGGAAGCTAGAAACAAATTTCCCGGTCAAACTATCTAGTATGCACTAAATAAATCTCTGAACAGGTACAACATCACGAAACGCGTCAAGTATCGAGCCCCGATGTCCGTTCGCACTTACGAATGGTGTTTCTCCATGCCGCCGAGATGCTCCCGATGGAAGACTGAAATGAGGGACCTCAGCAGACTCGAGGTGATAAGGATATACTTAATTCGGTCAAGCCACACAACACTTACCAACTAACTAACCCACTAACAACTGTGGTGGAGCCACGCAGCAGCCCCGGCTGTTGCACGAATGAGTAGGCTCGTCCGGGTAAGTACCACGACCTCACAGAAGACCGGCGTAAAGTGGAAGCGTACTTTCGCGTTTCGTCTGATGAGTGCGGTAGCCGGAGCCATCTGCAACCCTCGGTTATTGCAGATCACTTAACATTCATTGTGGTGATGTGTGTGTTGTCAAATAGTGCAACGGCCACGCAACAGCGAAAACTGTTTCGTGGCCCTAACACAGTTAAAAATTGGGAAGTGACACGTATGTAACGTGGAAAATAATTACATCTTAGATTTCTGTCTGATGAGTGGGATAAACGGGAGCCCACGATGTGCCACGGTGATGGCATACCATCAGCTGAATAGGTTGATCTTGTACCACGTACCCTAAATAACTTTCATCCCTTTATATTAGAAATTTAAATTGTTTATAGTGCTAATCTTTGCACTTAAGATTGAACATTAAAATATGTAGAAAAATTGCGAAAAGATTGTCGCCGCTGTGGGAATCGAACCCACGTCTTCGGCATTCGCGGCCTGACGCTCTAGCCACTGAGCTAAACGGCTGATTACCACACCGACGAAAATCTTAACGCATTCTTCTACATTGTTTTCTTAGCATTTGAAGCAATGCTTGGCGCCATCTATTATCGTTGTAAAACGATATTCGAAGTTGTTTGTATGCTGGAAAGGATATAACAATAGATGGCGCCAAGCATTGCTTCAAATGCTAAGAAAACAATGTAGAAGAATGCGTTAAGATTTTCGTCGGTGTGGTAATCAGCCGTTTAGCTCAGTGGCTAGAGCGTCAGGCCGCGAATGCCGAAGACGTGGGTTCGATTCCCACAGCGGCGACAATCTTTTCGCACTTTTTCTACATATTTTAATCCCTTTATATTGTTACAAAAAGGCCACATGTGTATGACAGAATAATCGAGAAGGAGGGAAGACCATTTAGTTTGATTTTAATCTTTGTAAAGGGGTACAGACTAATAAGGATATCCTTGTACTTTAGAATTAGACAATTTGGCTCCACTTCCAAAATTAAAACTATTCCAAAATTATAAACTAAAAATTATTATGATAGTTTGATGTTTCTTTAACTATGAAAAGTTTGAAAACATTAAAACCATTATGATTTATGTCGCACACACTTCTCCGCCTTTCCTCCCATCATCATCGTCATCTTTTTCAGTCCGCGGCTGAACATAGCCCCACAGACCACCACGAAGCATGTCCTGAGCCATCCATCAAACTTTGTCCATCGAATACGAATGTTTATTAATAATATCTCCCCTCCAATATCTAAAAATTTTATTAAAAAGTTTACTAAGTCAGATTTTGATATTAAACAGTAGTTTAATTGAATGCCACGGTAATTGAGCCCGCAAGTAGAGCTCTCTGGCGTCATCTCCAGATTTATAGTCAAATTATTTTAAGAATTTCTATTATTACAGACAGAAGAAAGGACTGCTGAGGTGGCAGTTTGCTGTCCAGGTTATAAAATGAAAGATGTGTCCTGCGTACCAATTTGTCCAAGTGGAAAGACGGGATCCGGTTGTGCTGACGGTAATGCTTGATTGAATTATGATTTAAACCTAGTGTCAATAACTCTTTGCTAAATAAGCCAAAGCATCATTTCTATTAGCGATAAACAATAAACATCATGTTTTCAATAAAAATTAATATGTAAATTTCACACTGTGGTGACACGAAATATTGCGTTTGTAACCTAACAATACGTAAACGTTTCTGTATAGTTTAAATTTACAAAATATATTAACAGATGTATGTGAAACATACACTGAATCAAAAGAAGCATACTTGCAACCCCTCTGTAAAAATGTTCAAGGGTAGCGGCGATCACTTGTAATGCAAGTTATTGCTTACTCCCTCTGATATAAGCAGAGAATTCTTACTACACACACGCTTGACCCCATTACAGATTGTCCAGAAAACAAATGGGGCCCTAACTGCGCAAACGACTGCCCTATCTGCTCCGAGCACGGTGAATGCTCACCACTTACCGGAGAGTGTGAGTGCAAAGATGGATGGCAAGGTGAGAGGTGGGTTACCACTTTGGATAACTTATCATCATTTGGGACGAAGTTCAAGGGGACTTGTTATAGATTCCTTTGATAATAATTCCATAAAAAATACCCTAACGGAAGACAATGAAACTAGTTCTATCCACATTTACCAAAGAAACAAACATTTATTTGAGTAAAGCTATTTTAGGGATTTTAATGCGGCTTTTTTCTAATTGCTACCTTCGTTTCGCAAAATTTAAAACTATTTACAGTGAAGCGAGTATATAGTAGACTGCTTTTGTTTTATTTGTACGAGGGGACATAAACAATATTAAAGCGGGATTTTAAATAAGCAGTATACAATACGTTGAGGAAAAATAGTAAATGTTTACTATCTGTGAAATTTATCAATCTCCCCAAAAGATCTAAGAGCGTACAAGCGTGATTGTCAATCTGGTCTCTCTTAATCCGACAAACAAAGAGAGCAAACCAAACCCGCGAGAAGTAATTTATAGTTAACATTAAATAATAACATATCAAGAAAGTGTGCAGTCTGCTAACACGTATAAAACCCTCCCAAACATTACGCGAAATTTAATAGTCCAAACATCATCTCAACAAAGGATCACATATTGTAGCATGTTATCTTAACTAGACCCATATCTTGCGGAAAGTCACAGTAAAATACATTTAATATTAGTTTCGAATAAAAAGAGGGAGACAATTCAAAACAATTCCATATAATTTATTAAAATTATATCATTCGTCTTGAATAATCCATTTCTTTCATACTGTAGATTTTAATACTTATTTTATTCTGGTTACAGTTGTGAAATTCGCATGTCAACAACGCCATCCTCGACCACTTTGATGGAAGAATTACTAACAACTACAAAATCTACGTCTTACACTAATCCAACCACTACAACGCCTGTCAGTAGTACTGCCGTCACCAATGCATCAACTGTCAGTAGCACTACTGTAGAAATAACTACTGTTCCAACTCCGCTGACTTCTAGAGGTAGTTCAAATTCTATTAGCACAACTATAACTTCTCCTGTCACCACTACTTCTACCACTGAAACACCTACAACCAAAGAACAATCACCTACAACAGATGTTATATTAATTACAACCGTAAGCATCAGAGATACAGATAACTCAACTGATAGAGAAGAACAAAGTGAAAATATGATGAGTGTGACGACAGTAACAGCTTCAACGCGAACTGATGCTTACGAGAATGTTACAAACATAACAACAACTACATCACCGACAACCGAAACTACAATACAAGAAACAACGACTACTAGAACGCGCACAAAATCGATTTACAACCGAACTGAGATTTCTGTTGAAAACGCGACTACTACCCCGTCAACCACCACAACCATCAAAATCCAAAGATCTTCTCCTGAGGTGATTTTATATACCACCGAAATGATTGAAGACAAAAGCATTTTGCAGAATGCATCAACATTAAACCCAAAAGTAACAAAATTTGCTTCCAACACATATTCGACAATCCCCACATCTACCGGAAAGGAGGTCACGGATAAAACTGAATCAACACGGAAGCCAGAAACATCAGTTAAAGCGCCGATAACGCAAAAATCTAAACCAAAGGAAATCTGGATCAAACCGACGCAGAAAGGTGAATCGACCATTATAGACTTTAAAATAAAATCGATTACGGACTTAACACATCTGAAGCATCGTATCGCGACCAAAAAGACGTCAAGTCAAATGACCTTAGAGTCGACAACACCAAGAACCATCATTGTATCAATCATACCGACATCGGTTTCGTACGCTACTTTCAAAAAGATCGCACTAACAACCTCCTCTTATTTATCCATAAGGAACGCAACGTCAAAGCTGAAAAAACCTGAACATGGTGTTACATCATCAATGCCGACTCACACTTCTTTGCCGCCTTTCATTACAAAAATTATCACCAATTCGGCACCGAGAAACATTAGCTTTCCTTCCACCTATGCGCCCACGATTTCTAAGAATGTGACAAAGCTTGGACCGGTGCCTAATAAGCATAAAATTACACGTCAGTTTAGAACAACTAACAGCATGACAAGCATGGGGGTGAACACTTCGAGACTGAATTCTTCTAACACCCTAACAGCTCCGTCTCAGACTAACAGTCCAACGACTCTAACAGATAAAAGTTCTAATGGGACATTCACTAAGAAGCCCACTGCGAAACCGTTTAAGAGAAATAGCGTCGAGGTGACAACCAAGGCTATGCTCTCCTCGCATAAAAGAAACGTCTCAGACACTGTCACCATCAAGCCGATTCCAAATTCGAAAGCGACAGGCCCACCAAAGAGGCTGACGACGGCAAAGATCCAGGGGAACTCTAACGATCAAAAAAACATCACAAAATCCCCCAGGGCCGACTTCACTACGACGGAGGGGCCCACGGAAGATGAAACCTTTCATATTTTGACAGAGCCCGAGCATATCACGGCGGTGATGAGTGACAGGGGACGTGATAGGTCCTCGATGGACTTGGTGTCTGTGGTGAGCATTGCCGGTGGCGTTATGATGGCCGTTATCACCGTCGCCGTTCTAATAGTCATGGTGGAGCGCTGCCGGCGGCCACGCTTCGAGGAAGTGCGGAAGAACATTAGAATGCAAGTGATGATCGACAACAATGAAGCACCGCCGCCTTACATGAGGAGCATCTTTCACACACCCCTACCAGGTAAACAATATTGGACACTAGATATCTACAAGCGTTTTCGATTCTAACTCGATGTTTTAATACAAGGTGTATTGTTTAAATGAAAAACAATACAAAGCAGATATGAGAAATAAAGGCAAGTTCAATCCTAATTGGGTAATAACATTAATTTCCTTATAATTTTAAAAGAAAGACATTGACGTAAAATTTTTATTTTTGATGAATTTAAGTGTCGTTACAGTACTGTAGTACTTCTAGAGGTAGTACAAATTCTATTAGCACAACTATAACTTCTCCTATCATCACTACTTCTACCACTGAAACACCTGGCTATAACGTTGATAAAATCTCGAGGGTCAATCGAGGTTCAGGCTAGGCGCCTCGAGCGCCCGGCCCCCTCAAGTTCGTCGGATCTGTAAAGGCCCCTAAGGCCAACAGTGGCTCATCCAGCCCAAAAAAAAATCGAGGGTCAATATCTACTAGCTTTTCGCCCGAGGCTCCCGCATATACTAGGCACATTTTACATTGAGATCAAAGTGCGTGTCCGACTCGCACTTGGCTGATTTTTTGAACTGTATAGAAACTTACAATCGTCATCATTTTACAGATCATAATATGTAGTTAACTACAGTTTCATCCAATTCCACTGTAGCTATTATGCATATAGCATTTTATCACACAAATATTCAATATGTTTCTTTAAGCTGCTATAACTTTTTTTTATAAACCGATTTAAATGAAACTAACACTGAATATTAAGTGAAGCTTACAAAAATGCATTGTAGTGAAAGTTGCACCCAAATTTGTTAAGCCCTTTCTAAGATAGTACGCACAAACGCACATACAAACAGACAACATTTTTAACAATCACTGTTCTGGATTCTAGTGCGTTGATAAATATAAGATAACAACAACCTTATTATATATAAATGTTTTTCTCAAATATCTTCCAGTTACATTTTTATTATAATGTTTAGATTGCATGATATGTATAGATTACATTTTTAACACACAAACTCTAAGTTAAAGTTTCACACATTTTATGTTTTATCTTGGGTGCAGAGACAAACACTTAACATAAAAAGTAGTAAAAATTTCCGTTAGCACCGATTATATTTCGACCTAACAAGACATTTTTTCGGTAGAGTAAAATCACTAATAAAATACAAGCAATTGTGACCTATAAAATGGCGGATTTCTTTAATGAAAATAAGTTTTTTTTTTTTTTCTTGAAAAGTATAAGCGACCGTAGCATTCTTGTTGATTATTTCATTAGTGATTTTTCTAGGTCTACTATTAGTTTGAAAAACACCCGGTGCTAATGGAAAACATGGATGGTATCTATAAAGATATCTCGCATATGGGAGTAATTAGGTAATTTTTTTTTTTTTTAGATATTCATTTCTTTTAATAAAACGGAACAAATTTTCTACTTCCAAAAAACGATGAAATTTCTATTTATACCATAATTTCAAACGACGATTTAACGGCCCATTAGCTCAGTTGGTTAGAGCGTCGTGCTAATAACGCGAAGGTCGCGGGTTCGATCCCCTCATGGGCCACTTCATATTTTTTGTTTTTGTTTTTAATTTTAAATGCATAATGTTTTATTTTTATTTTTTACTTAAATTTCCAGAACCGCCTCCAACGGAAAAGTGCCATTATCAACCGATATCTACTTTAGATAGAAACCTGAAACAATTCATGAGGCCAGTGGTTGTTCAAAATATATCGCCAATAATGTTGGAAAATTTCAGAGGTATTTTCTCATGAAATTAAAACTTAAATTTTATGTTTATAATTTAATTTAAAATAATATATGTTTTATGTTTCAGAAGGGCATTTAATATCAAAAAATAAATACCATTCGCAGAGGATATGTATATTGTACGAAGAAAACAAATTATTTATACTAAATTAATTGTCGTTTCCAGGTATATTAGAATGCCATTATGATCATCTGCCCCGAAGAAATCACGATTTTGGGACGATGCCAACTCGATTTGCAGCAGCGCCATCTATGAGTTACAGTCAAGAACTACGATGTCAGAAGTCAAGATCCGTGAATGAATCGGCGATAGATGCGTTAAAATGCGAAGCGAAAATGGACGTTCTCGATTCTTCTACGTCTGAACCTCTGTACGCTGAGATTCCTTGCTGGCGACCGCCGTCTGAACACGCCATAGAAGTGGTTAACTTGAACGGTGAAGCCATAACGGAATTATGACCTGTTCAGTGATACAACGTGTATTCGACGACGTTCCGAAGATATCCGAAAGATGTCACTAGTTTAAATGTGTGGAAGCCAAATTTGGTTTTTAGAATAGTTTCGTTGATAAATTATGCCAAAGCCTTGTATCTTGTATTAACTGATGTTTTTGCTTTCAGTCCCGAGACTATTAAAGCTTCATCTGACGCAGAACCGATGGGCTAGCCAGAACCCACAGGTTTGGGCCCTCCGCTGTGGGTATGGCCACGCATGTGCTCGGCGTATGCACTTATGCCAAAGACATTATATTATAGTACTTTTAATTTGTACTCGTACAGTTAAAATTAAGTATTAAATAAAGAATTAAAGAACAATACCATATATAAATTCAAAAAACTTAGTCGATTTGATTTCAGTTAATGACAATTATGAAAATAAATCTATTAATTAAGTTTCTATTAGGTATACGTTTCTGTGGCGTGAATATTTAGAAACGCAATGAACTAAAACTACACAATTTATTTATTTATTTATTTCATTGTAAATTACATTGCACCACACAATCTATAAAATATACACAGTTTAACTAGAATTTAATCAAACAGAAAATAACACAATAGAAACTACTACATTTTATGGAATAAAAGAAAAAAAACTGTGGCACTCAGGGACTTCCTCGGTAAAGCTTTATCAACTTATGCAATTACAATTATTCTTTGATATTAATTTCAAGTTACACTTTTTGAGCGTGGTGACCGATAAGAAAACAATTTTTTTTTTTTCTTTTATTAAATAAATGAGAATTTAATATCGTTTAAAATATTTTTATTATCTTAAATTACATGAAGGTTATTCAGGAATTTTTATCATAGATGATGCTTTATGGTGACTGAAATAAGAAACATAAGTTTGAGACTTGATATCGTCTAAATGTGATATCATCATTTGATAATATAATATTCTAATATCCATCCGTGCGAGCTTCGTACAGTCGTACCATATACATATACGTTAAGCCAACGCTCGGCCGAGCTACATGGTAGGCAGAGTGGGAGGTCTTAGGTTTTATTTTCGTTACGGAATTTCTTGATTCGGTCGCCGCGCTCAAAGCCCGCGATAAAAGCTATGCAATAGCTTAAAAAAAAGAAAACAAATTACAGTGTTACTGTTATAGGGAAACAAATGAATTATTATTAATAATAATTAATAATTATCAGTAGAAAGAGCCGGCCAGTTTGTTTAATTTTAACATAGCTAATTGGCGGTATCCTGGTTAAAAAATCTTTACCTTCCGTGCAAGTCAAAAGACTGTTACTGCAAGGTAAGGATTATCGTTAAAGAAAATAGCTACTTTACCCTAGTTGAAAATAAGGACAGTTTTTTAATTAGTGGTTATATCATTGAAGCGAACAAAACATTTTCAATACGTCTACTAATGAGTTTGGTGTAAACAAGTAGTACATGAACAAAAAGCAGATAAAACGAAGAATTATTGTTATTCTTAATTGAATTATTTTATAATATTGAAATAAATGTTACATCTATTTGGGCACTTTGTTGTAGTATTCTTAAATATATATATATAATAGTATTATACAGCGTGTCGTTACCATCGCGACAATAAATGAACACACGTCTAACGCTACTTGCCAATAATCATAAAAAAATATTCAATTTAAACAAAATTCATAATTAAAAAAAATATTTTTCAAACAAACTAATTGAGTAAAAACGAAACAAAATTTGTTACATCCTATACAACTCGCGCCACAGCGTCGTATTACAAGCCTATCCTTCTAACAGTATGTTTTGTCTCTTTTAAATTCATTCAGCCCATTCATATGCTTTGTGACCTTTACAAATGAACTTTACGTTACGCTTTTATAGGTAAGGGTGTTCTAAAATTCTTTGTTTTGGAAAATTTAATAACTCTGTAGATATTGATGTTTAAAGAATTTAAATTTTTAATACAACTTTAAAAAGTTATCCCCTATATGTGTGTTCATTTATTGTCGCGATGGTAACCACACGCTGTATATGTAATGTTTTCCGGAGCTTGACTTTACTTAGGCGATTATAAAGTAATGGGGCCAGGAAGTGAGAAAAACATTGAGCAAAATTACTATTACTATTACATGATGGCACTTCATGGACCTCATATAATATTCTAATGGACTTATTAATATGACTTGAGCATGAGTGTTGTTTTAGAGCAATACTTTTAATGTAATGATTGTTATAACTTTAAAATCTTTATAGAGTTTTGACGTAGGGTACTTGAACTGCTTATAATTAATGAATGACCTTTAAGATACGCCGCTAAGCTCATTCTATTTTTATAAGAGTACTTTTCCGCGCACCACCCTAAGCGATGATGCCGTAAGTAATTATAGATTGACACAGGGTTAGGTAAACAGTCTTGTTTGTCTTCTGGTCCCTATCAATGGCACATGTCGATGTGGATTTCAATTCAAACTTTTATCTATCTCAACACCTAAGTATTTTGTGCTATTTGTTGCAGATAACATATAACAATTGTCTAGTAGTATGGGAACAACTAAAATCACATACCTCTTCATGTGCTTTCAGTATGAAAGTATCTGTAGGATGATGCGAATTATTTTTTATGCTTAAAGTTTTGTTTATTTAAATCCAATGTAAGTTAGTTTTAATCAAGCCAGTTTATAATACTTTGAAGCCCTGTCTCAGCTGCTGTTGTAACTTGTGTCCATGATGAATGTTGGAATAAAATTACAGTAGTATCATCAGCGTGATGAATTAGGTGAGATACCTATATTGCACAGATTATTTATATGAATAAGAAATAACGTGGGCCCTAACACCGAAATTTAATTTTAGCTTAGAACTATAAAGATCTCCAATACCCGAATATACCGTCAATACAATACCCAAATATACCGTCTCTAATCGCAATACATTTGGGGCGACTCAGCCTCAGTAACTTAATTTTGTACTCGAACCTAAGAAAATTTTCCTCTTAGAAACACTATTATACCCCTAATGCAAATTCTATAAATTCTCAAGTTTCTAAGATTGCGAGCACTTCCGAGAAGCCTATCCATATGTCAAGTCAGACAATATTCTGCAAACACGATTACGTAATATTTTGATGCGCTGCATATAAAAATACCATTATAATTCTTATGGGGTAGACGGTAATGGTCAGTATTTACAGAGATAATACATGCTTGACAAGTGTTGACTCTAAGACAGTTGGAACAACAATAGTTTGGCTAAAATTAAAAATAAAAAGGAAAGCTGGGCTGCTACAAACCTCGACTTATTAACACAGGTACATGGACTTGGTCACTTTTTTTACTTACGCGGGGCAATAACGGACTATTTCGTGGAAAAAAACCCTAAGAGGTTCCACTTCGGACACATATCCTTAGAACAACGGGAACTTTCCCACACATCCGTGACCCAGCCTGCGCTGTCCGCTCAGTAGCCCTCCGAAAAAGACAAAGAGGGCTTCATCAGGTAAGGTGCGATAGGACATGGGTCTTCCCACTCGGACACTTTTTTTTTAAAGTTGCCAAGCGAGCAGGCGGTTCACCTGATGTTAAGTGAATACCGCCGCCCATGGACATCTCATGCCCAAGGGTTACATATGCGTTGACAACCTTTTGAAAATTTGGCTCCGGCCACCTCACTCACCAGACGAAACGCGAAAGTATTAAAGTGAAAGTCATACTTACACTTTACGCCGGTCTTCTGTGAGGTCGTGGTACGTACACGGACGAGCCTGCCCATGCGATCAACAACCGAGGCTGCTGCGTTGCCCTACCCCACTTTCCGGAGTAATGGGAGTAGGCAGCAAGACTACAAGCTCCACTGACTTCGGATATGGCCGCTCAACCACGCTTCGACCGCAGATGATAGTGAGACGGTATAGCAATTGGTAGGTTGTTTTTAAGTGACAAGTTGGAAAGCAAGCTGGCAGTTCACCTGACTATAAGTGATAACCGCAGCCCATTGACGTAAGCATCACCAAGTAGGGTTGCAGACGCGTTGTCACCTTTTGGCAAAGTGGGCCCCGGCTAAGGCACTCACCAGACGAAACACAGAAGTATAACTTCGCAAAGACTGTTAATGTGTGGACTACTCTCCACCCACGACCCCACCTGCTGCTTCAGTGGTGCGACCTGACCAAGGAGTACAGGGAGAGTGGACAACGACTTTTCTTTCATGTGTAACCTTTTAGGTTGAGGGAGTGGCAGTTGTATGGCAGACCAGAGCAGAACGGGCTACCCACTAAAAACAATGATCCTCAATGGCTGTTGGCAAATACCCTCGTTTAGTTAGTGCACTCCTTCTTATGAGTGATTCTGCTTAGCTATGTCTTTCAATCTCGTGTTGAAAGACAGCAGTTGAAAGACTGTGTCTGTTGAAGCTTTATAAAGTCTACAAGCTGAACTGTGGAAGGACCCACGCAACAGTCTTCGCTGTTGCACGAATGTACAGGTGAGGCCGAGCTGTTTTACTTCTGCATTTCGTCTGGTGGGTGAGGTAACTGGATCCAACTTTAAAGGGTGGCAACGTATCTGATACCCTATGGTGTTGCAATTGTCAGCGCCTGCTCGCTTGGCACCTTCTAACATAAATTAACAAAAAAAAAGAAGCGACTTCAATAAAAGTTTATTAGCACAAAACGTTTATAATAATACTAAATCTAATTTAATCAAATCTTGAAAATGTAACCTAATCTCTAACATAATTTAACAATTTTTGCCGTCGGTGCCTAGCCGAGTATCTCCGATTTGAGCATAAAATCATATAATTAATCTCTTAATTTTGTTACACAGAATAAGTAGATTATACACATAATTAAATACATCGTATGTAACTGTCTTTTAACCTATTTAATAGTTAACCACAGTTTTAATTGTTGCTTAGCTTCTTTCTATTTTTTTTACAACTATTACCCATGGTGAACAAAAGCACAAACTCCAAAAATTGTTCAATTATGATAGATATATATTACATTTAGTATTATTATAAACTTTTTAGTGCTAATAGAGTTTTTTGAAGTCGGTTGTTTTTTTTTTGTTAAAAAGCTTTTTATTTTTAGTAATTTAATCTTAATACTTAGGTAATATGAAATATGGGTAGACCTAGCAAAGGCGCTGTTCCTATGTGAAAACGGCATCAAACTGTAACTGGGAATGAAAAAGGAAACCGATTAAAAGCAAATAAGGCAGAAAATCTCTAAGCATTTCATATGAAAGGCCAGACCAGCACGGAACTAGATTGTTAATAAAAGATCCTATATGTTACGTAGATTTTTTTCTTAATTTTTGTGTGGAATCGACAAACCGCCGACGCCGAAGCCAATATCTTTTACAACTGCGTCAAAGATGAAATGAAGAAATTCAAGAAAATTACAATTGTCTTAGTTTAATTCGCACTCGTTGGGCCATAAGTTTATTTACAAAGATTTGGCTAAACTTGACTTGCTTTGCGTTCGTCAAGGAATACTGTTGATAGAAGATTTTTCCAATGGTGTTGCAGTTCGAATTTATCTCACTGTCAGACAAGGAGACGCTTACAGTGTACATGATAGCTATGAACGAGAAAATAGCATATTAATTGTGTAAACAAAGCATATTTACGATAGCAGCAATCGCGGTTGATTTGCTGTCATTATTTGAAGAATTCTGTTCTCTATCTACGAAACTCATCATCAGATCTATATGAAATATATATGCGACCTTTTCGTAATAAAACCCTTTCGAAGAAAAAATTATTTTGCATATCCGTCTATATATGACGGAGTTATGCCCGAACCTAGAACCTAGAACCTTCTCCTTTTGAAATCGGTTAAAAAAACACAAACATTAATCGCAATGAAAAGACTCATTAATAAAAAAATTGACCTAGAGCACAGTGATGTATGTACATTAACCTTGAACCTCACGCGAACTGTAAAACTGATCCGTAATTATATCAATTTAATTATAACAGATTTAAATTCCGACGTAGCTGTATGTGCAAAACATGATTGCATTATCTTATATATTCCGGTACATGACGACATTTTAACCTACTGGGACTAGAGATCCGTGTAATTTAAATACCGAACTCAATGACACATTCATCTTGGTACTAAAGTGATTAATACAATATATATTTAAAAGACACTTCCAACTATTGCCTGGGTTCTTTACGTGACCATATTTTCCTGTAGAAATTCAAGTTCCGTAGTTGATTTTAAAAAAAGAACTTGTAAAATTATATACACCATTATTACTGATAAAAACTTGTACTTAACGTAGAAAACATTGACTATGCCATGTCTTATGACACTTTAAAAAAATGTACGTACTATTTTTGTGTATTTTTCCACTAATATTTTGGATATAACTAGATAAATATAGAATATATAGACAAATATTAAAATAGAATCGAATCGAAATAAATATATGAATATTAAAACATTCTACGTTAAGACGTTAAGATAGCGTAATTTAAACTTTTGTATACATATAAAGATAATTTATATGATGATATAATGATAGTTTTTACGGTGGTAGGGCCACGCAGCCTTGGCTGTTGCACGAATGGGCAGGCTTGTCTGGGTAAGCACCACGACCTCTCAGAAGACCGGCGTAAAGTGGAAGTATAATACTTAATTTAATTTGCTTTTCGTCTGGTGAGTGAGGTGGCCGGAGCCCAATTTTCAAAAGGTTGTCAACGCATCTGGAACCTTCGGGTGCAGCTTATGTCCATGGGCGGCGGTTTTCACTTAACATCAGGTGAACCGTCTGCTCGCTTGTCAACTATTCACATAAAAAAAAGAAAAGAAGACATATTGAAGGGGTTGTGAAAAGAAAAATGAACCTGCCATTTTTTAAATGAACCTGCTTTTTTACAGGTCAAGTTGAATAAAACCGTTTAATAAACATCATCATCATCACTACAGTTTGCTACAATTATGTAAAGAGTTAAAATTAATTAAAATGAAAGTTAAAGCAGAAATCAGGGGCATAAGACAGTAAAATGTTATTTTATTAATTAAATAAATATTTCAGGATATACCATACCATACATTTATACATATACAAATGTACGGAAATAGGTACTACGTATATTAAAAATAAATAATGAAGTTATCGAGCTGGCTTTTTAATAAAGTACTAACGCCATAACATTGTTTGGATTTACAATATGTACTCAATAAAAATCAAGGTAACTAATACCCAAAATGATCTAAATCTTCACTAATCGATAACGAACTGCGCTTCAACAAAAACAAAAAAAAATTGGTGGCTCACGATAAGACAATTGGGGACCAAGATACTGGATCTCTTGAATGGAATAATATAAATAACTATAACAGAGTAACACAGATTAATATTCATTTAATATGACTCCTAACCTATAAACTAAGTTCGAAAAAGTTAAACATTCAAATGAATCTGCCTTCAAACTACAAACGAACAGTACGGAACCATTTGTTGACACTCAATTGTCACAGCTCTCAAGTTGGGAGGGCTCGGCGGGCAAACGGTTCAGTGCTGTTCTGAATGTCAAACGGAGCAGAAGTCGATCAACACTGATAAACAAGTGAGTGAAGTCACCGATTATAATTAACCATTCTCTCATCGTTCACAAAGCGTCTTTAAATGCAGTCACACTACGCAAGCGACTATGCACCTTTAATTCATTTACTAAGCGATCAACCTGAATTGTATTTGTCGAACCTAAAGTTCCTGTAGGCTTGAGATATTTTAGGTACAAGCTTTCATTAGCCTCAGATATGAGATTGATTATAAGAATCTCACAGAAGACCGGCGTAAAGTGGAAGTATAATACTTTCGCGTTTCGTCTGGTGAGTGAGGTGGTCGGAGCACAATTTTCAAAAGGTTGCCAACGCATCTGCAACCCTCGGGTGTAGCAGATGTTCATGAGCGGCGATATTCACTTAACATCATGTGAACCGTCTGCTCGCTTGGCAATGTCCCTCCTAGGTGGGGTCGGCACAACATATGAATCGTGTTGTAAGCGGTCAGCCCGCATGACCTCAACTCCTCCTTGGGAAACAGACACCCAGAATCATTTGTGAGTCACACAACCCGCTACCCTCGATGCCGAAGTCAATAGCTTAGCAACGGTGCCATCGCGTAAAAATAATTCTTAATAATTTTGTATTTTATTCTCCAATCCGTCTTTATCGGGAGATAGCTCGACAGATCTCTTTGTCTATCTAAATATATTAAATCATCTCATATCAGATCAGGATGCTGAATTGGGCAATCTTCGCACTGGTGCTCGCAGGCATCGGTGCAAACAACCCTGACACGCAGTATGTGAAGTCGGTTAAAGGTGGTTTCGGCGGGAGGGGCTACCAGTACCAAGCCGGCGACAACCTCGCTAAGTGAGCCCCAAAATATACTAGCTTCCATTTCTGCTTTTTCTAAAATCTAAATAGTACATTTTCACTCGATAACAATTAATTATTAGCTCCCTCTTATAACAATTTTATTCAAATCGGTCAGCCTTAGCGGTAAAAAGGGTTATTTAATACAAAAAACACTGGTTATTATAATCATATATTAAACTATACCTTCAGTTTAAGAAAACTAAATTTCAACTTATTACTTGTGATTATTTTTTATACCAGCCGTCAAGTCTGATTTAAAATATAAATAATGGCTTATTCATTTCTGAACAAGTGACAAGCTTGTCGATGGTAACTAGTGACTAATGCAAGACATATATTTCTGCTAAACTTAGTTACGTGATAACTGTTTTCCAATTTATTTTAAGAACTGTGCTAATAATATTTATGAAAGTTCACAACTTTTCTTAGTCTCATTTTTGACTGATCGTGATGGCCCATTCAGGTTAAAACGTAAAATCCAATATTTTTTTTCGATTACTAGCTTTTTCTTTTTCTCTCCCTTTCACCCTAATCCTCGGCCGTTTGGTCTCCCCTGCCGAGGGTTTCCGTCTGGTTGGGTCCCATTTATATATGTATTATATACAATATTTATATCAATATGTTTATTTGTATTCATATCATTTATTTTATATATGCAATATATATCTATACTGTTTATTTATAAGCCCAACCAGACGAGAAAACAAATGAATATTCCCCCATAATAATATAATCATTTATTCCTCACCATAATAAAATACGATACAAAACACATGTAAACAGGAACACAATCATGATTATGGTGGATTGACCCTTGAACTAGGACGAATCCTGTGTCTCAAGTAATCAACCCCCCACCCCGTAACAGAATCTTATAAAAAGTGTACCTAATTACATCAAAACACTTATAATCTTTATATTGTCTAAACTAATTCATCTAATTTTAACTAATTCATAATTACGATACGTGACGTATATATGTGTTTGTAATAGATTTATAGATAGGTTCCTGTTATATGTTCCGTAAAAATGTGGATCGAATCCACAACACGACAGGCGATGGCGGTTGGCAGGTGCTCTGAACCGTCGAGCTAACCGGACTTTCAATGTCATGATTGCATTGCAGATATTACGGTAACCGCAGCCAGCAGGGTTATGATAACAGACAGAACGAGATTGCCCCCGCCAGTTTGGACGTAGGCGTGTGTTACATAGAGGTTCCGTGAGTATTGGCATATTGTTATAGCCTCCATCTTTTATCGCGATTGTCCTTAACTGGTGGTTTGATGAGCTATATACCATAAACATTGAGAATTAACAAATTTACATAAATGCTGTGAACTTGAAGACGTGGTAGATCAGTGTTCGGCATCTGGCTTATTATTCAGTAAACTCGAGTTACCATAAGCCAAATCCAGATGTAGTTATCAGTGAACACTTTAGCTTAAACATAGAAGCAAACTGCATAGATAGATTAGCATAGAAGTGAAAGAGAAGAGACGCACTAAGATATGTGTAGTCCGCCAATCCGTACTCGGGTTTTTGTCGAAGAATGCCAGCAACGGGACATATGTATATAAAGGTATATCATTAAATTGCGAATAGATTTGAACTTGCATCGTCTAGTTTCGCGCACAGACGCGTTACCAACTAAGAGCGGCCGATGACCTCACAGCACAAAAATCTCGACATCTATCTACTGCGAGCTTTTCATTCCATTTTAAGAAATGGCGTGATCATCTAGTGTGTATACTTAACAGCATGCAAAATCTTACAAAGAACATAAATATAAATAAATAAATAATAAATAACGTTTATGTGTTGTGAACAGTGAATACAAATAAAACAAATATAAGATAAATGTTTTAATCACCTTCACTGGATGTAAAAGATATAACAAAAGATACACAGAAGCAGTAAACAAATAGATGTGACGCGTTGAGTTTTTCGTCTGTCTTTTAGCCTAGTGGTTGAAGCATCTGGGCAAGATTCTGGAAGGCGTGGGTCCGATTCCCACAGCGGTGAAAAACTTTTCGTCCATTTTCGACAAATTTCAATTAGAGATAACTTTTATATTATATAACCTTAACACGGTTTATCCGGTACAGAACTGCGAGCCTGGCGAGAGATCCGGCGCATGTACCTACCGGAAATGGGGTGAGACTTTAAATAAAATCAGTTAGCTAATAGTGCTTTTTAATTACTAGTAAAAACTCATCTTACGATATTAGATCGATGTCCGTTCATGTTGTGTGGTCTGTTCCATTTTTGAACCATGAAGGCGACATGTTTGTCGGTGTCAAGAAACTCAACAGTTGCTCTTGTTTTAAAAGATCAGTTTACAATACAACATGGTACAGATATAATAGTCTAATTTTAGTCTAAGTGAGAATCAACAGTATTAACACCACAAATGTCGTCGAGATATTCCGCAATGGTATACTATGCCATTTTTAATTTTGTGTTGAAATTGATCAAGTGGCAGACTTGTTATCAACTGTGCATGCGCAAACTGTGCCCCATAAACGTATTTACCTTGTGTAGACGAAACAAGTCCATTTTCAACAGACGTCAAAAGGAGGAGGTTCTCAATTCGACTGTATGTTTGTTACCTCAGAACTTTCAGCTGAGGGAACCGATTTTGTAGATTCTTTTTTTATTTCTCTATCTTATTTTATTACAATAAATGTATTTAGGCGCAATAGTGAGTATATTGATCTCTTTAAAAAGATATCTGACTGTATTCCGGGCTCCGATGTTGTAGATTGCTCGTAATACCAATATCCAAACAATAATTATTATTGTTTGGATATTGGTATTTGGTGCGCGCTTATTTTAATCATGATCCATGACCGTGTTTATGCTTAATCGAATTCCAGTCGAGGCCGGACCTGAGCCGCATCACAGCCTGCTGCAGAGGCTACATCCGGAACATCCACAACCACAGAATCTGCGACCCGGTGTGCTCTCAAGAGTGCGTCAACGCTCTGTGCACGGCCCCAGAGACGTGCACTTGTTTCCCCGACCACGTGAAGAATTACGCGGGATTTTGTGTGCCCACGTGTCCCATCGGTTGCCAGAACGGACGTTGTTCCGGCGGCGAATGCCTCTGCAATAACGGTTACAAATTGGATTCCGATAGCAAGTACTGCTTGCCGAGCTGCAGAGAGAATTGTGGTGGCATTGGTAAGACTGTTAATGTATTTTATAATGTGTGGAAGAGGTTGGGCGGTAGGTCCCAACGGCCACTGGGACCTAGATTACTTGAAGTCTTCTTTTCAAAAACATTGCCCTTACCGCAGGATAAAAACGAAACCGAACCCACGGCCTCAGGCACCGAAGCCAATACTGTGGGAACTGCGCTATAGCCATCGGAAAGACTATTAAACTCTTGATGACTATCCATTACTCAGCCTTTTATGTCCCATTTGTCCTTGGAATTATCCTTCAAGTGTTCCGAAAGATTTTCTTATCAATCTTCGTGGCTTAAATGCAAAGCGAATCCAAAAAAGTCAAATAGAATTTCATCGCGAACCAGTTTTCTTGAGAGTTCAGTCTAATAAAAATTAGTATTACGGAAGCAGATCTATATTTTTTGGCCATATGTTATTACATTGCAGATATAAAGTTAATTTCGTTTGTTTATACAAGTATAAAACAAGGTGTTTGTGTTGCACAAATACTCAGCAATCTGTTAAATATTTGAAATCGCTTCTACAAAATGCAACTCAATAACGATCTTATACAATCTTTATGCGCATGTTATATATTTTAAGTTGTATTCGGTAACATTAATTGAAATTTAATATAATTTTTATTAGATAATATGTAATTTTAGATAGATTCTTAATCTGATAATTTAATAGCATTTGCAGATAACGCTTCTTTACTGTTTGGAGTGAATTAAATGATCTTGATTTAGAACTAAATAATACGACCACTACGTAGGTATACTGTAGCTAATTGATTCGCTATAAATAATTTACTTGCAAAATCGGGTAAAAAAATGCGCACGCTATATGTTCGAACCTACAAATTCAGGAGGGATGCGTCCAGACTCTCTGTAAGTCTTATATATTTTATTATTTCTAAACAAAATATCTAATGTGTGTGAATGCGTTCTGCTTGGCAGCGACGAATATTTTTTTGGCAATTTATCTAAACATTTTGAGTTTTATCTTAAGTGACTAGCACGATTAAAACTTAAAAATTTTATTTTCGTGCTAGGGCATTTAGCCCTATGGAAAATCTACAACATTAATTTGTCGAGGTCTTTATTAATGCCAAGCGACCATGCGAAGCGGTATAAAAAAATTAAGTAAAAATTTATGCATATTTATTTTTGCTATATGGTTATAGGTTAAGTTAGGTTATCAAAGTTTAGACAGTTAACTTAAGTCTGTTAAAAGTATCCATACTTTTCAAAAAATAGTACTGAGTCACATAGAGCTAGCGATATTGACACCATCAAGATACAAAATCAAAATAGATGCCGAGCTTTACGCGCCCTGAGGTCATAATCCCGCAGCACCGAAAGTTTTTGTTCATTTATGTACCAAAAAAAAATAAAAAATTAGAAATGAAACATAAAAAAACAGAAACAGTTCAATGAACATAACTTGACTTATTTGAAAGCTGTTCAATGTTTGAAAAATTGTTTATTGACAAATTTTTAAGCCTTCTCGACATCTCAACCGAATATCTTTCACTTGAAAAGGACACCGTTGCGGTGATATCGCTGTATGTGTTCTGTTACACGAATGGGCGGGTCCAGCCGAGTTAGTACCGCGACCTCACGACCTAGAAGACCGGCGGGAAGTAGAAGTCACTGCATTTAGTCTGGTGGGTGAGGTAGCCGGGGCCCACTTTATTGAAAGTGTGGCAACGCATCTGCAACCCTATGGGTATTGCAAATAAGGGCTGCGAAACCGTCAGCTCGTTTGCCACTTTAGCACATAAAAAAATCGCATAAATTAGCAACTTATCTTGACCGCTTTATGCAGGAAATTGCACAGCACCGAACACTTGCGATTGCAAGAACGGCTATCAGTCTACACCTGGAGGATCATGTAGGGCTGTGTGTGACAGTTGCGTGAACGGAGATTGCGTCGCCCCAAATGATTGTCGCTGCCATGAAGGCTATACGAAGGAGGGTGTCAAATGCGTGCCACTATGTAAACAGTAAGTCAACCACTCCGTCCCCTAATAACTCGTATGAACTTAATGACAAAGGCCTATAAACTTAATGGACACAATATCGCCTTTTAGGCTTCGGTACTCAAAGGGTAAAACGGGACCTTATTGCTAAGACTCCGCTGTCTATCTGTCTGTCCGTCTGTCACCAGGCTGTATCTCATGAACCGTGATAGACAGTCGAAATTTTCACATTATGATAGATGTTTTTCACAGATGATACATCTGCTGCCGTTATAGCAACAAATATTAAAAAACAGAATAAAAAATGTTCAAGTATTGCTCCCATGCAACAGACATAATCGTTTTTGGCGCGAGTCCTACTCGCACTTGCCCGGTTTTTTCAATTTCATTCCATTCGTTTATTTCATGATATACATACATGAACTAAAACAATTTGTATCTGTTCAAAAATATCGTACGTGCAATTAATTTATTATTTAATATTACAAATATTAATATTATATATATCGATATCGGACCCAATTGGCGTAATGGATGGTGTACCTGTCTCTTGCGCCAGAGGGTGTGGGTTCGATCCCGCCTACTAGAAAAATACTGTGATGAACAAAGTGCTTGCTTCGCACATCATGTTTATTATCTAGTTAATTAAATTAAATATTTTAATTAGTATTATAATTAAAACATGTAGAAAAAGTACGAAAAGATTGTCGCCGCTGTGGGAATCGAACCCACGTCTTCGGCATTCGCGGCCTGACGCTCTAGACACTGAGCTAAACGGCTGATAGCCACAGCGACGAAAATCTTAACGCCTTCTTTCTACATTGTTATTTAGCATTTGAAGCAATGCTTGGCGCATCTATTGTTATATCCTTTCCAGCATACAAACAATTTAGAATATCGTTTTTACAACGATAATCTCTCGTTCGAATATAAAAAACTTTAAAATTTATAAAAAAAAGCAATGGCGACATCTCTCGTTCGACTTACGTTTAGCTCAGTGTCTAGAGCGTCAGGCCGCGAATGCCGAAGACGTGGGTTCGATTCTCACAGCGGCGACAATCTTTTCGTACTTTTTCTACATGTTTTAATGTTCAATCTTAAGTGCAGAGATTAGCACTATAAAAAACTTTAAAATTTATAGTATTATAACATTTATTTTAAGTAACTATTTTACACCGAATTGATTCATATAACCGCTCGCCTTTCAATCCATACGTTAATTATGATCACTTACATTCTTATATATGCAAATGTCATAAAAGAAATATGTCACAAACCTACTCTTTTTCTCATAGGGGCTGTAGTCCAAATGGGCGGTGCGTTGCTCCAAACATATGCGAGTTTCCGTCAACCACAACTTCAAGGCCTACATACGTACCCGGTCAACCCTCTTATAACCCCGGAGTAAATTCAAACCAACCAGGACAATATACAAACCAGCCAGGTCAATATCCTAATCAGCCTGGTCAATATCCGAACAAACCAAGTCAATATCCAAGTCAAACGGGTTCATATCCAAATAATCCGAATCAACCTGATCAACACTCTAATAAAACTGGTCAATATCCAAGCCAACCCGGTCAATATCCAGGCCAGCCTGGCCAATATCCAGGCCAGCCTGGCCAATATCCAGGCCAGCCTGGCCAATATCCAGGTCAGCCCAGTCAATATCCAGAGCAATCCGGTCAATATCCAGGGCAACCCGGTCAATATCCAGGGCAACCGAATCAATATCCAGGCCAGCCTGGCCAACATCCAGGTCAGCACGGTCAGTATCCTGGTCAGCCCGGTCAATATCCAGGTCACACAGGTCAATATCCAGGTCAAAATGGTCCATATCCAGACCAGCGCGGTCAAAATCCAGACCAACCAAACCCAACTGAGCAACCTCAGTATCGCCCCGGTCACAACCCCCAATATCCAGGTCCACCACCATCTCGCCCAGGACAACCGGCTTACGAGTCCATGTACCAACCGGCTGAGGGCCATCGCCCTGGCTACGCTCTGTATCCAGAGAGTCAGCACGTATCTCCCGACAGTGATGTACAAGTGCAGTGCACCTTGACCTGTATCAACGGATACTGCGTCGAAGGCAATCGATGCGTGTGCAACCGGGGATACGTCTTAGATAGAGAAGATCCTTCGGGCACCAGGTCAGTAACATCGTCATCCTTCTGCCCTTATCCCACCTAGGTGTGGTCGACACAACATGTGAATCATGCTGTAAGCGGTTTCACCTGTGTTTTTTACTACAGGCCGCTTGCCTGACTTCAACTCTTCTTGGAATAAACACCCAGATCCGGAACAATAATCTTTGGTTCCCACAAATATTTTTACCGTGTGGGATTCGAACCCACGACCTCCGACGCCGAAGCTTATAGCTTTGCAACGGTGCCACTGAGTATATTAATATGAATACGGGTCCAACGCTCCAGCGACTAAGCTAAGCGGTTAAACATTGGGCGCGTATATCAGATTCCAATCATCGCATAGGTGGAAAGCTTTACATCCATTATCCTACAAATTTTGAACTTCATCTTAAATGCAGTGAATAGCATGACAATTGATATTATTTAAGTTTCAAAATAAAACGTTATAAACAAATGTCCCCCATAATAATTTATTTAATTTATTAATAGCTCTTGATATTTCACAGATGCATTCCCAGCTGCCCCGGTGGATGTCTCAACGGCGTTTGCTCGGCGCCAAACTTCTGCATCTGTAACATTGGCTACTACAAGGACCACAGTGTTAAGGGGCGATCAGTTTGCATCAAACGCATCCGGAGATCCATCGATATCGACAGGACACCCTTGGATGTCGCAAAATTACTCACCTTTGAATTGCCTCAATATTGAACGCAACACGGTGATGTTTTGTAAATTGTCAAAGATATTTATATGAAAAATGTTTAATAGACATTCAATTTAACAGAATATTTTGTTTGATTTTAGCACATTTTTAAAAAATATTGATAAAGGAATAAATATTTAATAGATTTTGTTTATGTTGTTTTCTATCGAAAACATACAGCTAAAGAAAGATTATTAACATATGCATAAATACAGAACAATTAAAAATAAACTAATAACATGTTTTTACATATAAAGTTCATAACTAGAACTTGTGGTAATCAAAATATTTTTGGGTTTAAAGTCTTGGAAGAGAAAAGCGAAACAGTACAAAAATCATAATACTAATACCCGATCAAAATACTAATATCCGATCAATAAGTTTCTGTAACTCAGACTATTCACAAATACTATCGTAATACAATACACCAATACAATATTAGTAAAGAATCTTCATATTATATTTTAATTTAACCAGAGCCTATTTAACAATGGTGGATTTTGATATCTGTTTAGTCTGAAGGAACACGATAGAAGAATGAATTTTGTCTACTTAAATGTGTAAGCTGCTGTCAAAGGACTTGACTGTTTCAGCTCAGAAATTATTTTTGAGGTTTTCTCTACCGTAATTTGTTGAAAGTTAAGCACAATCTATACTACAATCATATCGAAACGCCTAACATGACTAACAAGATTTTATAAGGATATGAAACATTTACTATTACTAAGATATTACTTTAAGGTAAAAGTTTTGTTTTCAGTCATTTGCTGCTAGAAAAACATTGATCATCTTAAACGAAACATCTTTTAGGCCTGTTCTTAATATAACACGCAATATCGAAGACAGAAAGATTACTCTATTACATGTATCTAGATCTATTACATGTATTTTCACACCTTCCTTGCTGCATTAAGTAATTTGGTATATAGCACATTACATTACACAAGAACACAGAAATAATTCACTCGATGCTATTCTATTTCATGCTGGACGTCGCTCAACGTCTGAAAGAAAAAAAAAAGCTAGTTAGAACGTGACTTTATTTTAAAAATCCGGGAAACATTTATGGTATCTTAAATCCGAAAACGCCAAAGACCAGAAGCCACGAACACGCGTAGTAATGAGCCTATCGAAATCTACTCTCAAGTAGAGAGTAGTTTGTAATTTAGTCGATAATTTTCTTTATGAACGTTATATCGCAGTAACGTGGTTTACCAGTGTCAAAAATTAATTATTGCGCCTTGTGTTGTTCTACGTGTAAAATACTGCTGGACTGAAAAATAAACAAGATAGAATCACATTCCATGTATAACCATTCCGGCGCATTCAGTTACGTATCGTTTTAATTATTTTTTATGTGAGATGGTGGCAAGCGAGTTGGCGATTTGATAACGCACGATCTTGTTTCTAGTTTCGATTCGGATCGGGAGTAAGCTTTTCAAATCGGTTTCGAATCAAGAGTGAGTTGGAATCGAAAACAAAAACAAATTCGAATCGAATTTGGAGAGTAACATGGCAGGACCTCACAGAAGACCGGCTGGAAGTAGAAGTGTTACATCCCCCTTTCGTCTGGTGTGTAAGGTCGGAGCTGACTTTATTAACAACAAAGCATCCGCAACTCTACGACTGTTCCTTGTGTCCATGGGCGGCTGTTATCACTTAAAATCAGGTGAACAGCCAGTCTGACAGCCAGCAATTAGAGAAGGTGCGATATAATGAGCTGTGTTTGCCAGTTTCTCACATAAAACAAAAAAAGGGTATAAGCAATAAGCCCACTATTACTCCCTTAATTTCATAACATTCGAGGGCTTATCTAATAATATACTCGTAATATTAAAAAAGTTTCTATATCTCTGTTTAAACTTATAGCTTGTGTCGTAAATCTACACTAAAATGAAAACAATTGAATATATTGTGCATAGATGTTCGTGCTGATCCAATCCATGTGCGAACTATGTGACAAACACTATGTTATGTTAAAGAGTAATTAAATTTATATTTCTACCCATATCATAATTATACATATTTCTTGCTGATTCATGAAATTCGGTTGAAAATGTAGGAAAATTCACATTAAATAATGTTGACTAAATTAAACAAAGAATATCTCTTTTATATATCCAAAAAATCAACGCTTTTATGTGTTTAGTGAATCAGATTTTACATAGTGATGATAGGAAAATAAGATGATAAGGTTTGATACGCTTTTTTGCCATATGACATCTCGTACATCCATACACAACATTTCATAGACTCACACAGTCGCTCTTGCATTAGTCGCCAACCAAGGAACATACTTTAGAAATAGTGGCTGGAACTAACTGTAAAGGTAAATACAAAATGGAACATTACCATATTCAGCGGCCTTATATTTGGAATAAGCGTATTTAGTGGCGAAGATCAAGAAGACTCCAACTAACAAGCCGCAGAAGAAAAACAGGACAACCGAACCCGTCGTGTAGCCAGTACTGCCGTTTTCAGCCCCCAATTTTTGTCTAAAAAGTTACCACATTTAGCGTTCACCTTTACTGTTTTACCAGTACTGTTTTTTGTAGGATTAGAAACTGTTGATTCTTACGCAATAATTGCATGAAATTGTAAAATAAAAATTTCAAGCGATTACAAATATTTGATGCTAATGGTGTACGAAAACATATTTATCTGATATCGTACTTCTGGATTTCCCCCTCTCCTGATGTACTCTCAGTAGCTCTTTCAGTTGCCTCCTCTCCTGATTTTTTTGTAACGTTTACATTTTTCTTGTCATCTGCTAGTTTTGGGATATTCTCAGTACCCCTTTCAGTGGCCTCCTCTCCTGAGGTTGTTGTAACGTTTACATTTTTTTTGTCATCTGTTAGTTTTGGGGTACTCTCAGTAGCTCTTTCAGTGGGCTCCCCTCCGGATGTTTTTGTAACGTTTACATTTTTCTTGTCATCTGTTAGTTTTGGGTTACTCTCAGCATCCCTTTCAGTAGCCTCCTCTCCTGATGTTTTTGTAACGTTTACATTTTTCTTGTCATCGGTTAGTTTTGGGGTACTCTCAGTAGCATTTTTAGGGGCGTCCTCTCCTGATTTTTTTGTATCGTTTTTATTTTTTATTTCATCTTCTCGTACTTTACCTGTAGGAGAAGAGCCAAGCGACGAAATTGAGGTTAAACTATCGTTTCCTCTGAAAGTTAAATACACCGAAATATAAAAATTACATCCATCAATTATTTTCACATCACTATTATTACAAAGAAAATTATTTTATCACTTGAAACACAAGAACAAATTTGACGTCAAATCTTAAGTTTAATAATGATTTAACAAATGAAACAATCAAATTAAAATTTAGGTATTGGACTTAAAATAATACTTTTGTGTGTCAGAAGCCAAGCGAGCTCGCTGTTCACCCGATGTTAAGTGCTAACCGCCGCCCATGGACATTCGCAACACCCGTAAGGTTGCAGATGCGTTGCCCTTTTAATATAGTGGGCCCCGGTTACCTCTCTGGCCAGACAAAACGCAGAAGCTTAACACTTCCACTTCACGCCGGTCTTTTGTCAAGTCGTGGTACTTCTCCGGATGGACCTGCCCATTCGTGCAACAGTGAAGACTGTTGCTTGACCCTACCAAAACAAAATAAAATAAATGAAGATCTTTTTACAAAATACTATGTTTAATATATATAATATATAAGCGTTTGTTAGACCTCCAATAAAAATTATATAATAATAAGATAAAATATACATATTTAATAAAAAAACGAAACAAACAAATTAAAATGTAAGAACTAAACTTCAAAGGGTATAAAGGCCTTAAAAAACCGGTCAAGTACGAGTCAGACTTGCGCACAAAGGTTTCCACATTATCTATAACTAGTTTATCGCCAAATTTCGTCATTCTATGTCAACGGGTACTACCATATAGGTTTTTGACCCAAAACCTATAGAGTACTTACCAATAGTTGACCTAGAATTATCAATTTTTGTTAAAATCAAGGTCTTACAGCACAAGTAAAGGGAAAATTCCGAGAAATAAGAAAAAGTTGAAAATTAAGGTAAATCCTTAATTTTCGGTACAGTTTAGTTTCGTGAAAATCTAAATTTGCTGTAATAATTTTATTGTATTTACTCAGGACCTTGATTTTTATACACCCAATAGGGACTATAGACCTCAGTATCACTACATAGAATGAAACAAAGTCGTCCCGCTGTCTGTCTGTGTATGCTTAGTCTTTATAACTACGCAACGGATCTCGATGCGGTATTTTACTAAATGGAGTGATTCAAGAGAAAAGTTTATATATATAAGGAAGCAGGTCGCTAGTCTATTATAAATTTCAACTTGTTAATTCCAACCGTTCCTGAGAAAATCGGTGGACACACGGACAGATAGTGACGGACGAGTGATCTTATAAGGGTTCCATTTTTTACCTTTTGAGGTATGGAACCGTAATAAGTTAAAGGACTAAGCTCATTTATTTTCAATTCATTAATGTTCATTATATTCATTAATAATTATTATGTCTAACAAAATAGTATCTTACCCCGTTTTCTCATCTCCCATGGTTATTGGGGGCAATGGATTTGGTTCAGTACCATTTTCTTTGTCCAAAAGCTCGCCAGGAGTAGGTTTCGTAGGGTCACGTTTTCCGTCACTGATTATTTCGATGCTTTTATTGTCACGGCCTCTGAAAGTTGAATATACACAAGTCTATTTTTACTAACGAAAAACTAAACCGACTTCAAATATCTCGCTCTTTAGTATAATGATAATAAATAATAAAATATCTTTATTCACATAGACGCTTGCGCGTTCTTATGAAACGTCAAAATTGTACAAAAAATTAACACGTTCGTAAGTTACCACCGGTTCGGAAAGCAGTTTCTGTTGAGAAGAAACCGGCAAGAAATTCAACAGTTGCTCTTTTTTTAAAAAAATCAGTTTACAATATAATAGTACAGGTACAATAAATCGTCTTGTTTTAGCCTACGTGAGTATCAACAGTATTAACCCCACACATTGGCGTCGTCAAGATATTCGGCAATAGTATAACAGGCTTTAGCCATAAGTTTACTTTTAATTTTTCGTTTAAATTCATCAAGTGGCAGACTTAATATCGACTGTGGGATTTTATTATACATGCGCACACTTTGCCCCATGAACGACCTGTTTACTTTTTGTAGGCGAAACAATGGCGTAGTTAGTTTGTCCTTATTTCTAGTATTTAGTTTATGTCTGTCACTATTCTTTAGATAATTATTAATATTATGTTTAACATACAAAATATTACAATAAATACATTGAGACGCAACAGTGAGTATATTAATCTCTTTAAAAAAATCTCTGAGTGTATTCCGGGCTCCGATGTTATAAATTGCTAGGACAGCTCTTTTTTGAAGAATAAATATAGAATTTACATCTGATGCACTACCCCACAACAAAATGCCGTACGACAAGATGCTGTGAAAATAACTAAAGTAAACAAGTCTGGCAGTGTCGATGTCTGTTAGCTGCCTAACCCTTCTCGTCGCAAAAACAGCGGAGCTCAGCCTGTTATTCATTATTCATTTCATAATTGATTTTCAAGAGTTCCCTACATATCTCCGGAGCCCAAGATCCAATACCAATGAAATAAATATGGGACTACATAGGAAGCACCAGCTTTCAAATAAAAAAAGGATCATCAAATTCGGTTCAATCAGTTGAGAGTTCTGATGTAACAAACGTTCAAACGTAAAACAGTCGAATTGAGAAACTCCTCCCTTTTTTAGGTCGGTTTAAAATTATAGAAATAAGCCCCACATTTGACTGTTCCTGTTCCTCTATCACTAAAGCTACAATCGTCCATTTTAACTATATTTTTCAACATTTCACTTACCTCACACACGCTTCGGCGCATAGTACTTTGAGACTGATGTGAAGTTTTCTGTGAAAAAAATATTTCTACATTAATTAACGCCGGTTCAGTGATAAAAACCGTTTCCGTTGAAAGTTGCTCTGAAGTTTTCGTTTCACGCAAAGGAAATCGGGACACACTTTTTAAAAGTTTGGGCCACAACTGCAACTCTAGAGATGTGGAAGATATCCATGGGTGTAATAATTTATAGTGAGGTTTCAAGTAGTATGTACCATAGAAATAATTAATCGTTTTTTTTTTCTGTTAAAAGTAAGAGTAAAATAAAAAGTATGAAAAAACCTCATAGTTGTGTCCCTAAACGGATTTGTGAGTCTTTTGCCAAAACAAATAATTTAATTGTAAAAATCTGCCGAAAAAAATATACGATATGAACTTTTTGTTTGTCGACATCAGTAATGTTTAAACAAATTTTCTTTTGTTGAATTGAATTCATTACATGCATGTATCTCTTCATTAAATATAGTCTTGTTTAAGTTCTTTTTGAGCGTTAAAAAACTAAAAACTAAATGAGACCTGTTCAGAGAAGAACCTGCAAAAAGCTCTACGGTCTTGTCCTCTCTTTTTTTTCTCTCTTCTCTTTGTAGGGTATAAAATCAGCAGCAGCCACTGGACTTGCAAATGCAGAACAAGAGTCATTATTCACAGCCCTTTCCATTTGGCGTAGCTTTTGCAATACGTTTAAAATTATTTACAGTTAGTTGTTTGTGCATGGCACTAATTTAATATTATATATTTTAAAAGCTTTAAAATAATACATTGGAACAGAAACGATTTCCTGGATTTAGCTTCTGATGTTCTCGAATATTCCCAGCGACGGAAGCGTTAAAACGTTTACTCGTTTAAAAGTTTTCCTTATTGACTCACGTGGACCCAAACCACGGACAGCCCTTATCACTTGCTTTTATAATACAAAATGTCGAGAAAAAAAATGCGGAAACCCCACGATACGAAGTAAAACACCATATGACATAAAACAGCTGCTATGAAAATAAGCACACCAAAATAATTTTGCTGTTGCCTCGATTGTTAGCTACCTGATCTTGCGTATGGCAAAGACGGCAGCGCTCGACTTCTTGGCTAATTTTTCTATATGTCCTCCCCATTGCAATTTTGAATCAATATATATCCAAGGAAAAAAATTTATCACGATTTGGAAATGGTTCTCCTCATCTATGAAAATTCCTGACTTGTTAGACAACTATGACAGAATTAATCTTAAAAATTTAGTTTTAGTATGACTCAAAAGTCAGTCATTGTTTTTAGTTATTAAAACTGGCACAACATCTAGTATTTTCTTCGGTTATTTTAGTTTCCTGTTACCTTTAAAACTGTTCGTCAAGTGTTTTCCGCTAACAAACCTATTTGAGACCTTTTTCAAACATATTTATGACAAGTGATTGATATAAAACTAAAAACAGAAATTTCGACCGAAATTTGAAGTTATCGTAATGTATCGGTGTATTAAAGTAAAACACATGATTCGTTAATGCCTTTGTCTATGTTTTTATTTAATCCCCTTTTTAATATTATGCTAGGCTTAACGCCGTGACAAGAGAGCTGGTTCTTTTCTCGCTCAAAGGTTAAGCATAACTATTCAGCTAGGAAATGCAGCCTCCGTGGCACCATGCCGCGTGGAGCAGTTTTATTAGATAATATGTAATTGTCGATAGATTGAATCTTGTAAATTTTGCATTTAATAAATACTAACCCTTCGAGTTCTCTGATTCCGTAATCGCAGGTATCCTGAAAACGAAATTAATAAAATAAGATATTAATTTTGGTATTGGCTATGTCGTTCATAATATATAAAAATGAAAAAGTATTCGGGTTGTAATAACAGTAATTATAGGTTACTTTAATTTAACACGTTCATCATCATCATCATCATTTCAGCCTGCTTGAGTCCACTGCTGAACATAGGCCTCGACCATAGACTGCCATGAAGTACGATCCTGAGCCACCTGCATCCATCGACTTCCCGCACATTTGCACAGGTCGTCACTTACTTGAATAGTTTTCAAATGGTGTGACATTGTGCATAAGTTTCCTATAGTAGGTTACATGCCTAATTTATATCAAAGCCGTGATAGCTTCAAGTCCGGGCACTCGCTTTTCATTCAATATAGTTACGCAACCCGAATTCAAATCCAGGTGCCGACGCCAATGAAATTATTTATTTTTAGTGCTGACCTATCGCTGGCTTGGCGGTGAAGGAAACAATGTGAGGAAACCTCGAAGTTTCCAAGATATGTGAAGTCCGCCAATCAACAGTAGGGCAGCGTGGTAGATTGCACCCTACGGAGTTATTAAAAACGTGGTAAACATTTATATGGACAGTCAAATATTGCTTATTACAAACTTCATTAGCTAGAAATAAATTCACTTACCCCTCCGGTCTCGTTTTTAGGTCTGTAATATAGAAAATACGAATCTGTTATGTTTTGCTTTTAAATAGATTACACCATAAACAGGTATATGCTATTTATTTATGATGTATTTACATATACGATATTTAAACTGTTTCTTTTTCAGATATTCCTTTTTCACAAATTTTGTATTCATTTTCTTAAAACATGTGAGACTATGATAACTTCGCTAGCTACTCGACGTTTGTCCCGTATTAAAATAAATAGTTGTTAATTATTATCTATTTAATATTATATGACACGATGACTCGGTGGCTTAGTTGCCAAGGTATTGGCTTCTACGTGGGGGGTCGTGGGTTTGATTCCCACACAGGATTACATTTGTGCGACCCACAGATAGTTATTTCGCATCTGGGTGTTTGTCCACTTGAAATTTATGTTTGTAAAGCGTCCTTTCGACATGGGACAACATTATCCTAAAGTAAGATCAATGTTTTCAAAAAATATATTAGTGCAGTTGATACTGAAGATTATAGTCAAAAACAAATTATTGTAATATCCAACTAACAGGTGACAAATACCAGTCTATCGTTCCAGTATTCTATATATATTAGTCTTTTAGCACGAAGTAGCCTTTATGACATAACCTTCGACATTGACATATATATATAGGCGTATACAGTTATTCAGAAGGCGTTTCAGTTCGTTCAGAAGATCTTGGGATAGGTATTACCCATACCGTCTGCATATAAACATAAACGATGATTGGCAAAATATATAAGGCATTGGACAAACAATACCTATTTTTTAACTGTGATGGCGCCAGGCAACAGTTTCTTTTGTTGCACGTATGGGCAGGTCCGTCCGGGTAAGTACCCCGACCACACAGAAGACCGGCTTGAAGTGGAAGTGTTGTACTTCTGCGTTTCGTCTGGTGAGTGAGGTAGCATCTACACACCTTATTAAAAGATGGCAACGCACCTGCAACATTGTGTCTGTTGCAAATGTCAATGGGCGGTGGTTATCACTATTCAACAAAAAAGTGTTATCAATAAGCACATCGAGATTTTTGTACCGATGCAAATGCATTATACGATATCAGTGTTTTATCATAATGAACTGATAGTAAACTATATTGGTTAGTATTCAAGTCTTATTTAATAAATATCAAATTGAACTCACTTAAAACAGGAACACACTTGAGTCTTATCAAGAAGCAGGTCCCTGAGGAATGAGGAAAATACATTAATGTTAACAGCTGTCAAAGGTGAAAAACTATAATAATTGAGTGTAGTAAATTCAAATTCTTCAAATTCAAATATCTGTATTCAACATTGCCATTAGGAGAATTACACGCACTTAATGATATTCATACACTACTACCGGTTCGGAAAATAATGCCACTGAACTGAGAAGAACCGGCGAAAGAAACTCAGCGGGAACTCTACTTAAAGAAACTCTACTTTTTTTTTTTTTCATTTTTTGACATAAATTGTGTGACATGAATATATTAAATACAATATAAAAAGTCCGATGGAAAGAGATCAATTCTGTTTTATGTTTGTTCCTAGTATTTATATCGTGAACATTATGTCTTGTAAATTTATCCATATTTTTATGGGCATACATACTCGTAACATAAAATATATAGTCTGGTTTTAGATGATAAACTTACCCATTTTCTACGTTGACTGTAATAATTGATGGAGAACAGCTTTGCGAATGAGCCGATCGCACAATCTGTACAGAAAATGATTCAAATTATAATGTACGACATACTTAAACAACAGGAAATAAAACACATTAAAATTACACTTCGATTTGAATGACACGTGTCTAAAAAAAATAATTATTATAAGACAACCGTTGTTGGATAACGGGAAGGGGAAGCCTCGGAAGGAAGATTCCGGACGAAATCGGGGCCTTTAGCTTTTAGTGAAAGCAAAAGTAATAAAAACCTGCCAAGTGCGAGTCGGACTCGCGCACCAATGGTTCCTTACCATTATCTACAAGAATGGACCACCAATTAAACATTTTTTTATTATATTTTTAAGTATTTGTTGTTATAACAGCAACAGAAATACATCACCTGTGAATATTTCAACTGTCTGACTATTACGGTTCATGAGATACACCCGGTTACAAATGGACAGACACAAAGCGAAGTCTTATTAATAGGGTCCCGTTTTACCCTTGGGGTACGGAACCCTAATAAAAACTAAGGAAACCAATACATAAATCGGACAAACAAATTTAGTAATCAGTTTACATATACATAACTATGCCTTAAAGTAATATCCTTCTATATAACAAACTGCTGTTACTACCTGGGGGTAAATGCACTAATTCCATTAAGACAGTGACGAATGATAACAAACATTATTCAATCAAAAATTGCAAATCTAAAGATACGATTGAAATAACACCGGAAACACTCACCGCGAACAGACATATGAGTTTAACAAGGCGCTGCATTTTAGGAGCAGTCTGTCGCTGCGACGTCTCCAAACAAAATGCCCGATCATGTACGTAAGCGTCAATATATAGACCCCTCTACATAATTGTCTATCGCCGGAAGTCTTTATCATCAAAACAATTACAGTTTAAACAACTAAAAGAATAACTTTATTGGTGAACCGAACCGAATTAAAAATTAATGTCCTGTCATTAATTTGCTCGTTAATAATTTTATTCTTATATTAATAATTTTCATTTAAACTGGTTTATTGTAACTATAATATAATTTTTAATTCAACCTACCTAAATAGCTTTTTTTTAGTTCTTTAATATAATTATTAGTTGATAATTACTTGTATTTAAGCGATTACACATTATACATAGTCTGTCCCGTGACCATGAACGCTGTAAAGGGTTCGAAATGTCGGGAATTAAAATAAAAAATAAACGCGATAAATCCGTAAAATTACTTTCATTTATAAATAATAGTTATTTTATATAATTAATAATTAATAGTACTTTAAACTATTAAATATTTAATGTCCCAAAAATTATTCTTTTCTTAAACATTTATCAAGCTCTTTTGAAAGTTAATAAATGTTTTGGAGTGACGACCTGTGCAAATGTGCGGGAAGTCGATGAATGCAGGTGGCTCAGGATCGTACTTCGTGGCAGTCTGTGGGGGAGGCCTATGTTCAGCAGTGGACTCAAACAGGCTGAAATGATGATGATGATAAAATGTTTTGTGATTATTAATAGTAATTTGCAACTCTGTTACCTCTCGGCAGCCCCTCCGAAAAGGAATCGTTAATCTTGATGATCCTAGTCAGGATAATGGGACAAACTTGTTAAACTATTAGCTTTTCGTCCGCAGCTTCACTCGCGTTGAAGCCCTTAAATAAATATATCTCTTTAAAAAAAATCCCAATTGAAAAATAGCCTGCCTATGTCCTTTGTCAGGCTCGAGACTATCTGTGTACCAAATTTCATTGTAATATAATTGGTTCAGTAGTTTTGGCGATACAGACAGACAGTTACTTTCGCATTTATAATACTGCTACTACTAATAGAATAGGCTGAAGGCGTAACATTCAGAGAGAAAGACAGATACATAAAAATATGTATATAAATTATAGCCTATGTTTTATTCTCATGTATAAGCTATTTTATTGTAAAGTTTCATTAAAATCCATTCAGTACTATTTGCGTGAAAAAGTAACAAACATCCATCCATACATGAAAACTTTCGCGTTTATATTATTTAAGTATGGATTGTATTGTCATCGGTCCCTGATAAATTTGTCAAATTTCAAATTAATCTGACGTTTTTAAGTGGTTGAAAATAGCGTTCATCACAAACATATATACAAATATACAGTGAAGCTAATAGAAGCGTGTTAACGGTGATAGGGCCACTCGTCCGGGTAAGTACTACGACCTGCAGCCCTGTAGTCCCGGGCTTATAGAATAGGGCTAAGGTATCCCATGCCTGTCGTAAAAGGCGACTAAAAGGGGACACGGATGGGCAGCAGCACGAAGTGGTCTCGTGTTGCTGTAAGAGGATGAGGGGATTGGAGAAGGTTTATCCTTCTCCGAGGCGTGCTCAGGCGTAGTACCGAGGGACACCGGTACGTTCCATGGGAGATCCCGGAGTCCCTCCAAATGTACAGAAGGTGGCCACCGAGGAGGTTTTAGTGGGTAAGAACCCCACATAACCCTGTCATGTAAAGTGACAGGGTATCTTTTGAAGATTTCCCCCCCCCCCGATACCAAAAAAAAAAAGTCTGGTGAGTGACGTGACCGGAGCCCAATTTTCAAAAGGTTGTCAACGCATCTCCAACCCTCGGGTGTACAGATGTCCGTGGGCGTCGGTATTCTCTTAACATCAGATGAACCGTCTGCTCGATTGGCAACTTTTCACATTAAAAAAAAGTTAAAAAGGATTAGTGACATTAAAATATTTTGGAAATATAAATAATATGTAATACCTTTCCATTGTCAACTTAATATATAATTCAATAAATCGAAAATTTTCTTTCCTTGCCTTTTGGATTATAGGAGTGGGACCATTCATTACTGGTCCATGAATGTACCAAGCCGGATGAAAGCAGAAGGCTCAAAACAACTAGAACTCATTATACAGGCAAGAATCAATGCAGTACCCGATTGATAAACAGGGGAGTCAACCAAAACATACGAAGATATACACAGGAATGGAGGTGTTTCGTTAGGATTCTTCACGACAGTAACAGAGTTCGAGTTTTGTAGTTAAAAAGTATTAATGAAAAGAGTATTAAGAAATTCGTCAAACTGCTTTCAAATTACGTTTCGTATCGGACAAGTGCTATTAATTGCGATTAAATATTATAATTAGAGCGTATATGTTTTGGATATGTATGAATCAAGTCAATGTACTCAAGTTGCCCGAGTATGTTGAATTAAAAGCGAGTGCCCGGACAATGAGCTAACACGAATCACTCAGTTTAAATTTAATTTAATGAAACTAAACATACGATTCAGGAAAATGCAACTCTCTCATTAGCGTGTTATCGTACCTAACAACTCAACATTGGCACTAATTACGAACCTTTATCATGGAACTTTGTTATTACAAGTTATTACAAGTTTTTTCCCGTTTGTCGTGCGCCATTGTTTTATCATTATTTAAATGGGAAATGATGTATATTACATTTAAATCTATGGACCTCAATGTTAGTAAAGCCGAAAAATAAGTGACTATGCCAACATGTAATATTTATCTTCATCATTAGCCTATCGCAGTCGACTGCTGGACTTAGGTGTCTCCCATTACACGGCATCTTGTACGATCCTCGACTTCTTGCATGCAGTTGTCTCCAGACACCCTACGAAGGTCGTCGCTTCCCCTTGCCAGAGGGCGTCCTACAGTACTTTTGTAATATTATAATATAATATTAAAAAAATAAAGTGTAGCAGAAGCAACAAGTCCGCATAAAGCAATAAGAAGCTCCGCATTTAGTAGCACCAGTGGAGTTTTAGGATTGAATCCTTCCTACTCCGAATGATCTTAATGATCAGAATGATCGATTCAAATAGTTTATCCATCCCTTTGGCAACTCAAATGATCTTTGAAAAGCCTTTTGACAGCTCATTAGTTAACTTCTACGATGTTCGGTGTTTTAGAAACCGGGCGTTAGTCACTAAGCTCTCTACCAGGGCTGTTTGCTGAGGAAAGATTCTCAATAAAAGCTTTACTACTATTGAAACATTTAAATATATAACGAATTGTCAAAATTTTTAAAGAGCAATTGTAACTCATTAGGTGAAAGTTTGGCCAACGAAGGAATAAAATTTCATTTTATCCCTGCTTATTCACCGCATTTCGGAGGACTCTGGGAAGCAGGTGTCAAATCTTCCAAATACCATTTAGTTAGAGTGTTGGGAAATTGTCATCTTACGTATGAAGAGTTGAATACGACTTTAACTCAAATCGAGGGCATTTTGAATTCTCGACCACTTACGCCAATTTCCACCGATCCTGATGATTTGATCCATCTCACTCCCCGACATTTTCTCATCGGTCGCTCACTCACCGCCCTGCCAGAGCCAAGCTATGAAGATTGCTCTTATAATCCCCTGACACGGTTCCAACGCATCGGGCAACTCCGTCACCACTTTTGGCTACGTTGGAGTAAGGAATATGTTCCTGAATTACAGCAACGGATCAAGTGGAGAACTACCAACGAAGCCTTGAAATTAAACTCCTTAGTGGTCGTGAAGGAGGATAATCTTCCACCACTGAAATGGCGTCTGGGACGAGTCATTGCTGTTCATCCTGGCTCCGATGGCATCAACCGAGTGGCTGACATTAAGGCGAGCTGCGGAGTAGTACGAAGGGCGTTCAGCAAAATTTGCCCATTGCCTGAGGTTTCATAATGAAGACCTTGTTTGGAAAGGCAAGCTTCCAAAGCCCGGGGGCATGTTCGCGAAGCGCCTATCGAAATTATCGCTGCAACTCGCATGACCAAATTTGCATGCTGTTACATTATATAATTGTCACTTTACATAAGTTAGTAGGTAGTTTATTTTTTAACATTCATTGTATTACCGCTCTGTGACTTAGCACATTACAAGTCTTGCAAAGCTTCTGATATATTTTTATTTTACTGAAATTACCTGGTCTATTTCCCAATAATAATAATAATAATAAAATATCTTTATTCACATAGACGCTTGCGCGTTCTTATGAAACGTCAAAATTTTACAAGAAATTTACACGTTCGTAAGTTACCACCGGTTCGGAAAGCAGTTTCTGTTGAGAAGAAACCGGCAAGAAACTCAACAGTTGCTCTTTTTTAAAAAATCAGTTTACAATATAATAGTACAGGTACAATAGTCTTGTTTTAGCCTACGTGAGTATCAACAGTATTAACCCCACACATTGGCGTCGTCAAGATATTCGGCAATAGTATAATAGGCTTTAGCCATAAGTTTACTTTTAAAATCAATCACTGACCGTATTTGATCTTCTGTTAGTAGGATACCTATTTCAATCCATACGGCATAAACGCTTATTAAAACAATATATTTAATTAAAATATACAATGTAATTAAAAAGATCTTAATTTAAAAAATTTTATTTAATTAATCTTTACAATTAATATAAATAAATAATCCACTACAAAACTTAGGTGGGCCCGAAGAGTCAATTGACTTGCGACATATATGGTAGGCAGTACAGAAACTGACTTTATTTTTGATTTTGCCCCCACGCCACCGAAGGGATTGAGGAATCTAAGTCGTATGTAATAATATCCGGTTATCAACGATTAGATTTAAAATAACGTTTTACATTTTTACAATAAGTTGCTCATAATCCTATTGAGTATTGAAATGACTGTTTAAAATTCCTTCATCTAAGATATGGCACTGATGTTTACTAACTACTTAGCCTCAAATAATAGTATCCATAGTTATTGTTGCACTACATTTTTGAGAACAGTTTCAATACGAAAGGTGTGCTGGTTCGAAAATACTTTAAAAAATATTTTATTTCCTATAACCGTTTTATAAAGCGTATAACAGTTACTGTTAACTCCGTCGATGTTTAACAACATGACTTCCGGTTTCTGAAACACTGGTCATCGTAGAATTCTGATCAATAAGAAGATCAATTGATATTTGAAAAGCCATTTGACAGTTAATTAGTTAATGTCAGTGTTTCAGAAACCGGGCGTGAGTGTTTCTAGATAAATGTATAAAAATAAAGGATTCTGAAGATATCATTCTGAACGTCTTAAGAATTCGTCTTTGGCAATATGAATATTCATTAAGTACTCTAAAGATAAATTAATTTTGTGCGAAGAAGACAAAACATAAATTTATAATCAACAGAATGGGTGTGCCTTAAATTTTTCTTTTAGATTTACAAATGACAAAGCAAAATTATTTTTATTTACAACGTTTGCACAAAGAAGCCGCTCCTAATGATAAATAATCACAGAAGGTTTTATAATGCATCTGCTTATTAGCGTTGTTAAAATAAATATATAGGTACAATTCACAACATCGATCAGTTCGACTGAGAACGGTAAAAAACGTCGGATAAATTGTACTATCAGTGCTTCGTACAAACAAGTGAATACGGCCGCTGGTTAATCGTACATTTTGTCGTTGCGGACTATCGTTCCGTCGAGTAAGTTCTCGCCTGCTCCCTCGTTCTGTCCCTTTTCGTTCGGTATGTCGTACTCATTCTCTAGCCTCTCTTCATCTCGATTTTGTAGCAGGGTGTTGGAAACGGTGTAGACCACGCTCTGGTTGTACATGCCTGAAAAACATGCGTTAGTTATTGCAATCGCATTTTCACAATTGTAAATGTTTCTAACATTGCTGATTCCCACTTTGCATCGCAAAGGTATTACAGATTGAAATGGAATCAGGGATCGCGGTACAATAACACAGAGTTGTTCATAGCACTCTTGGTTCCGGATTTTATGCAAAGGAATACGCGAATGAAGTGGCGGTATCATACAATAAAGCTAGCAGTCGAAGCTGTGGAGTCAATTTGGTGTCTGAACGTTCCATTTTTCGATTTCCTAATTTCCTAACATTTTATTTGTGCACGGTCTAGGACAACATTGTCCTGTAAATTGAAGATCTTCATAATCACTGTCAAAAGTTTATTACTAAGTATTCAGCTCATATCGTCAAGGATAAAAATCGTCTGACGATTGGTGTAATCGGGGCCCACTTTATTAAACGTTTGCAACGCATCAGCAAACCTTCAGGCTTTGTAGATGTCTACGGGAAGCGGTAATCACTCACAGGTGTAGGGTACAAATCTAGGTAGAGGTGTCGATCGCTTTCCAAATTGTCACAAACAATTACATATTTTTACTAACGAAAAACAAAACCGACTTCAAATATCTCGCTCTATATTCATTTTATAATTGATTTTCAGAAGTTCCCTAAGATCTCCGGAGCCCAAGATCCAATACCCATCAGCTGAATAACAAAAGACACCTAATCGATTCACTCCATCGAAAGTTCTGAGGTAACAAACATAAAAAGAAATACAGTCGAATTGAGAACCTCCTTTTTTGAAGTCGGTTTAAAAGGACCAACAGTGTAAATGTTACGTAAATCCTAACTCGGCTTCCAATAAAAAGCCAACTTTATTGACCCTTGTACCGAACAGCTCTTGGTAAACGCATGTTATGCACCTTGCTCTTCGGCGGGTTTGGCGCCGTACTCCTTCCTCTTCCTCCACATGTAGCTGATGATGACGATCATCAGCGTGAGAATAAGCAGTCCCACCACCGCACCCACTAGCCAAGTTATCTCCAACCCAGCCAGCCTGAAATCAATGGATACATTTATAAAACAGGGTAACACTTCTCATTTGACACTCACACATAAAAAACAGGGTAATACTGTTCAAGTCATTTGCCGCAAAACTATGGACTGTTTTGTGTATATTTGAAAACATTTGTTTAATTTAATTAGAAAACAGATTGCAATCTGTTTTCTGATGGAAATTCTTACAGTTGCAGAAGTTAAACAATGATCGGAAAAACTAAACCAAAGGGAGAATCTAGATTATCACTATGAATATTTGGGAGTATATTATAATCCAACAGAGTAAAATCTCGTCAATAACCATGACATGAAACTGAATTTCATACGATAAATCGCACATAGACGACTCGAACAATATGCAATTAAGTGGTGGCTAGCATATTATCGTAAAGACAAACTTTGCCATTGCATATTTTATAGTTTTTTTAATACTCGCACTAAGCGAAATAGATTCTTAATGATGAATGGTTTATTCCATGATAGCAATACGCTTAGTTACATTGTTACTTAGAGAGCTGTAATACCTGGAACGACATTTCATTTAAAATAAAGGGAAAATTTATTGTGTTATTGTATTAGTTTAACCCGCTAAGGGAAAGTCTTAGTAATGTCCAATGAGATAAAACTATTCATTTTCAACACGTCAGAAAACTATTATTATTTCAATCAATTTCAAATCTTTTCTTTTATAAAAAAACTGAGCTGTTTTTGATGATTAGCTTCTTTCATCACCTTGCGGACGAAGCGATCTCAGCTGGCTCGGCTATGAAATCGAAGCATGGACTTTTATCACTGCAGAAACACAAACCGTCGTCAGTGCAGTTACCATCGCAGTCTTTGCAGGGTACTCTGTAAACAAAAAAAATGGCTATTAATTATTATAATGTAATCCTACGCCACAGACAAATAAAGCCTATATTAAAATAAATGTCGTAGTTGTGTATCACAAAGAATTGTAATAAGGAAGATACCTATTAGATTTACGCCAATTAATAACTAGATGACTATTGAGTCAGCGCTTAATCCAGTATTTAGTGATAACTGCTGTTTTTGGATATTCACAATTTCATGGCCTTGAAAGTAGGTTACAAAATTTCTGTATGAATTGGCTTTCAGTTGTCTCTTACAATGTGAACACCTTATGGTTAAAGATTACTAAAGGCCCAAAACAATCCCTTTAGACAAAACCGTTCACCATACATAATGACATGAATGGTGAACGAAAAGTCATCGATCACTTTAAGAAAGCGAATGAAATAAACTTTCTAAGAGTACTTCAAAGTATGAATGTCATCATAACTTACGGTGGTAATGCAACGCAGGTGCCATTCTCCATTACATAGCCAAGGTGGCATTCGCAAGTGCCGTTTGTACAAGTCCCGTTGCCACAAGAGCTCTCGCACGGCTCGTAGCATACCGTATGCCGTTCTTCGTCCTTAACGAAACCGGGGGCGCACTTGCATCTGTTCGGCGCCACGCAGTCAGCGTTGACGCAGGGCTCCTCACATACGGGGCTGCAGCTCCCCTCCGCTCCGACAGTTGCGCTGTAGCCATCATTGCAGTTGCACACCCCTGGCGCCGTGCACACGCCGTTCACGCAGGCCCTGCAATCGGGCATACATCTGCCGCCCTTCATCGAGTAGCCTTCGTTGCAAATGCAGTTATTCGGCGCGGCACATGTGCCGTGTTCGCATCCGTCGCATACCGGATCGCACTGCCATCGGCTCGTATTCACGAAGCCCTCGTGGCATTGACAAACCCCAGGTTCGGTGCAAATGCCATTCATGCATTTCGGCTCACAATCGGGCACGCATCTGCCGCCCTTCATCGAGTAGCCTTCATTGCAAATGCAGTTATTCGGCGCGGCACATGTGCCGTGTTCGCATCCATCGCATACCGGATCGCACCGCCATCGGCTGGTGTTGGCAAAGCCCTCGTGGCATTGACAAACCCCAGGTTCGGTGCAGATGCCGTTCGTGCAGTTCGGCTCGCATATAGGCACGCACGCTAACGGGTCAGCCTCGATAGTCGATTTTGCACAGGCACCGTTTGCACAGGGTCGCTTGTAACCAGTTACACAAGTAGGCGCGCAGTGCGTAGCGTTGATCTTCTCGTAGCCGGCACTGCAGGTGCAGGTGTTGTATCCGGTGCAAGTGGCGTTGACGCACGACGGTTCGCAGGTCGGCTTGACACACTTATCAGCGACCATCACGTTTGGCGGGTCACAGCTGCATCTATTGGGCCCCACGCACTTGCCCTCGCCACAGCCCAGGCGACAGTGGTAGACGCATTTCTTCTGCTTGGCGTCGTACTTCCAGTTGTTGCAGCAGTACTGCAATGAGAAATAACGTTGTTATGACGACTGACGACCCGAATGGCGTTTTGGGTAGTGTACCTGCCTCCTGCGTCAGAGGGTTCGATCCCCACTACTGGAAAAATATTGTGCGATAAACATAGTGTTTTTCCAGTGTCTGGGTGTTATATATGTATTTATTCACAAAAGAAAAGTTTTTAAGTATGTTTATCAGTTATCTTGTACCCATAGTACAATCGTTGCTTAGTTTGGGACAAGAGAAAGTTGTGTAAAAATGTGTCCTAAAATATTTATTTATGTATTTATTATCATTTGGCTCTTTCAGTCAGACTTTTTACATTGTATTTAATATATTGTTAACATGTTCACACAATCAAAAAATGGTAAAAAAATCTAGCTTTTCTTTTCCGAACCGGTAGTAATATTTTGAATTTCAATAGGTGAGTGTAATACTCCTATGTATCTGTATTCAAGATAATTGAATTTGAATATCAACTTGGCAAATATGTATTTCAATCAGGGAACGCAAATAAAACATGTTTTATTTGAGTTCACTTATTTCACTGAGTTACTGTGACTTGAATAATTCACTGATTGTAATGCGACCATGATAAAAATTTTCGGTATACCCATTTAGTAAATTTTATACTAACGGACAGTTTATCCATATACTATATTATGTACAAAGTATATGGTTAATTATTAGGTATATGTAAATAATCTATATAATGAGTAGATACAATATGTATGTGATATAAACAATAAGTACAGATATTCGCTTGGCTAAGGTAGTCCCTTCTCAGCAGTGGTATTTCACTGTAATCCCGTTTCGAATAAAGGACCGATTCTTATACGACCAAACATTCTTATATGTGGACTAATTTATAAGACACGGTGGTAGGACCACGCGACAGTGTTCGCTGTTGCACGAATGGGGAGGTCCATCCGGGTCAGTACCACGACCTTACAGAAGACCGGCGTAAAGTAGAAGTGTTCCACTTCTGCATTTCTTCTGGTGAGTGAGGTAGCCGGGGCCCACACTATTAAGAGGTGGGAACATATCTGCAACCCTACGGGTGTTGCAAATGTCCATGGGCAGGCGGTTATCACTTAACATCAGGTGAAGCGTCAGCCCGTTTGCCACTTTTGGGTAGTGTACCTGCCTCCTGCGTCAGAGGGTTCGATCCCCACTACTGGAAAAATATTGTGCGATAAACATAGTGTTTTTCCAGTGTCTGGGTGTTATATATGTATTTATTCACAAAAGAAAAGTATTTAAGTATGTTTATCAGTTATCTTGTACCCATAGTACAATCGTTGCTTAGTTTGGGACAAGAGAACGTTGTGTAAAAATGTGTCCTAAAATATTTATTTATGTATTTATTATCATTTGGCTCTTTCAGTCAGACTTTTTACATTGTATTTAATATATTGTTAACATGTTCACACAATCAAAAAATGGTAAAAAAATCTAGCTTTTCTTTTCCGAACCGGTAGTAATATTTTGAATTTCAATAAGTGAGTGTAATACTCCTATGTATCTGTATTCAAGATAATTGAATTTGAATATCAACTTGGCAAATATGTATTTCAATCAGGGAACGCAAATAAAACATGTTTTATTTGAGTTCACTTATTTCACTGAGTTACTGTGACTTGAATAATTCACTGATTGTAATGCGACCATGATAAAAATTTTCGGTATACCCATTTAGTAAATTTTATACTAACGGACAATTTATCCATATACTATATTATGTACAAAGTATATGGTTAATTATTAGGTATATGTAAATAATCTATATAATGAGTAGATACAATATGTATGTGATATAAACAATAAGTACAGATATTCGCTTGGCTAAGGTAGTCCCTTCTCAGCAGTGGTATTTCACTGTAATCCCGTTTCGAATAAAGGACCGATTCTTATACGACCAAACATTCTTATATGTGGACTAATTTATAAGACACGGTGGTAGGACCACGCGACAGTGTTCGCTGTTGCACGAATGGGGAGGTCCATCCGGGTCAGTACCACGACCTTACAGAAGACCGGCGTAAAGTAGAAGTGTTCCACTTCTGCATTTCTTCTGGTGAGTGAGGTAGCCGGGGCCCACACTATTAAGAGGTGGGAACATATCTGCAACCCTACGGGTGTTGCAAATGTCCATGGGCAGGCGGTTATCACTTAACATCAGGTGAAGCGTCAGCCCGTTTGCCACTTTCTGACATAAAAAAAAGACATTGACGTAGCCATCTTTGTTAACGGTTGTATAAGGGAATGCGCAATAACTTGATTAAAATATTTCTAGTCACATTGGGATTGTTGTTTTTTTTTTTATATTAACGATAAAACAATCAAAATTTTCCATGGCGCTTTGTTCCCATGTTTGTTACTTACCAACTTATCCGGCCTACGCGGATCATTGCTTTGTCTGAAAAAAAAAACATCTCATATGAATAACTACTTATATCTATTTCTATACATTGTTACATCCACAGTTTTGTAATATATTGCCGCGTTAATCCTCGAAATACATGTGAATAAAATGCGCGGAAACCGACACAAATCTATGTCAGATTATTGTGCAAGAGGATGTTGCAAGGAAGGACGAAGTATTACATACGTATTACATCTATACATTGGGCAGTAACTACATGTTATTACTTTTTTTTTATGTGAAAAGTTGCCAAACGAGCAGACGGTTCACCTGATGTTAAGTGAATATGCCGCCGCCCATGGACATCTGCTACACCCGAGAGTTACAGATGCCTTGACAACCTTTTGAAAATTGGGCTCCGGCTACCTCACTCACCAGACGAAACGCGAAAGTATTTGTTATACTTCCACTTTACGCCGGTCTTCTGTGAGGTCGTGGTACTTACCCGGACGAGCCTGCCCATTCGTGCAACAGCCGAGGCTGTAAATAATTAAAATATTATTAATTGCCTGTAAAAAAAAGAAATAGGAATGTTTACTACAACTGAATTACCAGCAGACAGAACACTTACAAGGTCAGCAAAATGACTTCACCATGTACACTATACAAATAATACTATACAAATTCATATCAATAGGCTTTATAAAAATACATACATAAAATTCAATTGTTATTGTATTTATTGCAATTTACCAATTTAATTGACCCTAGACTATTTGATCGAGGATATGACCCCTGCGAGACAGGTTGCTAGTGCAGGGTTCACTAAGCAAATGTGTATAGAATTTACAAATGTGCATGTGTTCAATATTATAAAATGCTTTGTTTTTGTACTCTACTCTTTGTTTCAATAAACTTTATTATGAGAAAATATGTACTTGTGTTATTATTCGTATTAATCAATTCCAACTTCCAAAAGCCTTTGTGAATGATTTGTATAATATAATGAATAAAGACACAAAAATATAATTAATGACCCGGTAGGCATAGTGGATAGTTAACCTGTCTCTTGCACCAGACGGTACAGGTTCGCTGCCCACTAATGAAAACTGTTGTATGATGAACATATTTTTCTAGTCTTAGTGTTTATACATTTATAATACGTACATATTAAGAAAGAGAAGTATATTTAAATACGTTAACCAGTTATTGAGGGACAAGAAATGGTTTAGTAAAAATATGTTCAGACATATTGGCTGATGCATATTCATACGTTTATGACAAAAGCTCAACCACGATAAGTTTGGCAAATACTAATGCACTGCATGAGCGGACAGTCTCGTTGAGGGATACTTCCATGACCTCACAGAAGACCGGAGCAACACCTGAGACAGATGGGTGGCGGTAATCAATTAACATCATGTGAACCGCCTGCTCGCTTGCCAACCCTTCACATCCTTCTTCGCTTCACATCCTTTGCTTGCCATCTGGTGTCTCAAACCAGATAAGGAGCTTACAAAGTGTCATTTATTTGTCCTTATCTCACCATAATCGCGTCCATTCATGCACTCATGACGACCGTAGCACGAGACAATGGCGCTTTGTGGGTGTAATCACTCGCGACGTTTCAAATGTAACAAGCGTACTTTGATCCCTTTTTTCGGACATTAACAAACCACGAACACTGTATTCATAAATATAAACGACTTGTCTCCACATAAAAATGAATGTCTCTTTGTTTGTTTGGTATTCGTGTGTGTTCGTTAATTGTTACGATAGGACAAAAATGAACTATGTATTTATTTTTACCGGATATTACCTAGTCGTACTGATGACAGAAATTCTTCTCACTGCAGCTTCTAAGATTTTATTTAAATCTAGAACGGAAATAATGTTGTAGGGCCACAGTCGACTGTTGCACGAATGGGCAGGGCCGTCCGGGGAAGTACCACGACATCACAGAAGACTGGCGTCAAGTGGGAGTGTTGCAATTCTGCGTTTCGTCTGGTGAGTGATGTAACCGGGGCCCAATTAATTAAAAGGTAGCAACGCATCTGCAACACTATAGATGTTACTACCCCACTTAACATCCATTGAAGCTCGCTTGACTCTTTCTGACATAAAAAAATAACTTCTACGAATCAATAACACATGATGCTTTTGAATTCTAATAAATATAAAACAACCAGCCGGATGTTGGATATCGTGACTCATCACGGTTATTGGTCATCGTGTCAAGTTAATGCACTGGCGATTTGTTTTCGAGTCATATTCAGTTCATATCAATAAACGTGCTCCCACGTGCTGTGACTTGAACTTCCCCGTGTAATGAACCTCGGGAGTACACCCACTCTGGCTTCGACCAATCGAAAAGAACGATCTTCCTCAGATCCCTAGCTTTTTTGGCTCCACGAAGCTTTTACGGGTGCAACATAAGGCTGTCACAGATTCTTACTTGACAGAATTGATCGAATCCATACTAATATTATAAATGCGAAAGTAACTATGTCTGTCTGTCTCGCTTTTACACCAAAACTACTGAACCGATTTAAATTTGGTACACAGAGAGTCTAGAAAAGACAAGAGCCTGAGAAAGGACATAGGCTAATTTTTTTCTGGATTTTTTTTAAAGAAAGATATTTATGTAAGGGCTTCAACGCGAGCCGCAGCCGCGGGCGAAAAGCTAGTAGACATATAATTATAGACATGAAAAATATTGAAAAATATTATCGATGGAAAAATGGTAGAAAAACGGGGAAGAGGAAGAAAAGTAAAAAAAAAGTAACAGCCTATACCTGTCCCACTGCTGGGCAAAGGCCTCCTCTATAGAGAGGGTATCAGGGCATAGTCCACCACGCGGCCCCACTGCGGGTTGGCGGACTTCACATATCTTCGAAATATATTTTTTTTGTTATTATTTCGAAAATATGCAGGTTTCCTCACGATGTTTTTCTTCACCGCGGAGCACGTGATAAGTCAGCACTTAAAGTTAAAAACTTCATTGGTGCCGGCACCGGGGATCGAACTCAGGTTGCTCGAGTATATTGAATTAAAGGCGAGCGCCCGGACACTGAGCTATCACGGCTCATGGAAGAGGAAGAAGACGAATAAAATGCAGTGACAATTTGAAAAACAAATCCGACTTCAAATATCTCGCTCTGTATTCATTTTATAATTGATTTCCAGGAGTTGCCTAAGTATCTCCGGAGCCCAAGATCTAATACCAATGAAATTAATATGGGACCACATGGGATGCACCAGCTTTCAAATAATAAAAGAATCATCAAATTCGATTCAATCAGTTCAAAAGTTCTGAGGTAACAAACATAAAAAAATACAGTCGAATTGAGAACCTCCTCTTTTTTGGAGTCGGTTGAAAATAGACATCAAGGACGCCGTCATTCTTTGGTGACCAGCGCAGAATAGAGAAGAGTTGGTGGTCGCGGGCATGTGGTGGTCACCGACATCCACGGCACCCCCAATAGAGAGACACCTCTGGACCTCTGGATGATTACCTCTGGATGATGTAGGTAGTATATCCAAATAATTCAATTCAAATTCAAATATCTTTATTCAACATAGGAGCATTACACTCACTTATTGATAGTTAAAATACTACCACCAGTTCGGAAAAGAAAGCAACTGGGCTACTTTTTTTCCATTTTTTGAAATACATAATACACGTGTGACATGAATATATTAAATACAATATAAAAATTCCGATTGGAAGAGCCTGGAGCGATCAATTCATTACCAGAGTGTGTTATCATTTAAATAATCATTAATTATATAATAGCCTATAACACACAAACGTTCTTTTACAACTTTTTTTTTTAAATTTAGCTATTGATGCATATTGAACGTTTCCTGTGATTTTATTGTAACAACATTTACTTAGATTTACTTATTTTACGCAGTCTACTTGTGTATACTACTAATTTACTCGTATGTTAGTTCCTAGTATTTATATCATACATTATTATGTGTTGAAAATTCATGCTTATTTTTATGAAAATAAATAACATTTTCAAAAATGTATTAATAAGCAACAGTCAACACCTTCATCTCTTTAGACAAATTTCTTAATGTTAAAACTTCTATAACAAAAGTATATCATTATTTCTGAAAAAAAAATTTATAATTTATTAAAGTATGTTTAATATACCATTATTATTATAACAACTGAAATACTGATTGGTAAAATTCAAATGAAAAATTTAAATGAAAAATGTCATTCAAGTAGAAGAAGATTCAAAGAAGTATGTCCAGTACGGAATGATAAATACATATGAATGAGAAAATATAAAAAACGAGAAAATTTATCTTAACATTAGAAAACCACTTCAAATAATTCACTCATGACACATTTTCTATTTGAGAAGTAACATGTTGTATCTCCGTAATCGAAGGTCTAATACCAAAGAAATTAATATATTAACTCATTTTGTCATCGTCACGCAAAGAAGAACACATGGGAGCCAAAACGAACCGAATGCAAGAAGCATTTTTAAAGTCGATTCATAAAAGACGGAGTTCTGGGGTAACATACATGAAAAGATTTTGACAAATAAAAATAATTTTTTATGTGAGAATGTGGCAAACGAGCTGACCGGTTCACTTGATGATAAGTCATAGCCACCACCCATTGAAATTTGCAGCACTCGTAGGGTTGCAGTTGAGTTGCCACCTTTTAACAAAGTAGGCCCCGTAACTCACTCAAACGAAACGCAGTGTAAAACTACCACTTCACGCCGGTCTTCTGTGAGGTCGCGGTACTCACCCGGACGGAGCTGCCCATTCGTGCAACAGTTAACTGCTGCGTGGCCGCACCACAGTAAAACGTATCGCATATTCGTTCACCGTTCTGAGCTGATAGCAAAACTCACCTCCTGCACACGCCCTCCTCGCCGAACCGGAGAGCGGAAGCCGACACCCAGCTTCCCAAGCTCAGCACGAATACAAACACAATCACAACCGGAGCTCGCATCGCGCATACGCGAAACCCTAACGCTAACCGTAGCTTATTTTATAATAACTTACACAACGCGACATCG